ATCTTTACCTCGGTTATAGTGCTTGTTATTATTGGTCTCATTGGGGTTTCCGTGCACTGATGATCATCAGTGCATGGAAACTGGGGAACAGGTCATGACCTGATGACATGTTTTGCTTCCCTCGAGGGCCAGAGCTCTGGCCTCTACCTGCTGAACTATATATCTATGTATACTGTTCTGTACAGTGCTCGTTGACTGAGCTCACAGCTGTAGCAGGGGTTTTCGTGCACTGCCCACCGGTGATCTACGAAATGCTTGGATATTAATTGTGTGGTGCATATATTATCTACACTCGTGGAACGCCACCACTTAGTATCTTCTTAATACCATCTTAGTGCTACCCACTTCATATGTCCTTCATAGCTACCTGGTAACATTCTTAATAGGCCGCTTAGTAGGTCACTTAGTATCATGTTACATACTAATGGTACTCGAAGCGCTTAGTCCCGAATACTAAGTCCTCCAAACAAATATTAAGTGACATTTATTAAGAACTTCATGATCAAGCAATTATGAAGTAATGAATATCAAGAACTTCAAACAAATATGAAGTAACATTTACTAGGGGCAAATGCTTGCTCAATAGATGATTCTAAGTAAGGAATTACTTTCTGGAGGTGTAAGATTGACATTTCACTGCCACTGTTGAGCTGTTCGGGCTCACATTTACGAAAATTTTAAATCTGGGACAGATGTAAGCTAAATACCTTGCAGCGCTGCAAGAGCTTTTGTAACATTCTTGCTTAGTTCTGTGAGATAAGAAAAAAGATATTAAAGTTACTTTGTGTGTTTGGCAGTTAGCTAGTAGAGCTGCGACATACGAAGCTCTTATCGCCGTTGGTAAGTATCACTGTGTGTGTGTGGTTGTTACAGTGTAGTTGGTACCAAGATGGCCCTAAGTAATTACTAAGCGGATAAGTGGCATCTTATATAAGTGGGATCCTAAGATAGTTCCGCTCCACGAGTGCTATATATATGTATATATAATAACTATACATATATATTTAATAACTAGCTAGATTGCACAGCGGGGTAGCGATATATATACCAGGTATATACCAGGTATATATATCCAGGACATATATTCCTGGATATTATATAATGGGTTATTACATATTATTGTATATGTGTGTTTATGGTTAATGATATATTATTACGTATATCATCATTCATGTGGTTCATAATTACAGCCATGGAGCACTTACTGTGCAAAACAATATCCATTTGAGGAGGTTGTTTCATAGAGTCGACCGCTCACCAACGGAGGTACTGCGAAGCGCAACAGATAACGCGAGGGCCCTATGGCGAAATACCGAATTACACAGGCGAACGATAACGAATAAGCGAATGAGAGCAATGTAAAGGCGTCTCATGCTCGTTACAATACGCGCGAAGCGCTCGAACATCTTGCCAAAAGATATCGATGTCCATATTACTTTTTCATTTGTATAGAAACAACGGCTGGTCCTCTTCCATCGTACCGTCATACCTACCTATCACAACTCCCAACACAGCCGCCCCCGTGCAGTGCTCCAAAACATCGCCCCCCACGCACTGATTGGGTCGGTAATTACCGGTACGTACGTCTGTCTGGTGGTGACAGGTCCACAGCCGCATCATGAACACTCATTTGCTGACCATTCACATGGCTAACAGTTACTCCCCTGTCTACCCCCGGGCAAAGGTAGATCTTAATGTGAACATTAGCAGAAGTCTGCCGCCATCAACTACACTCAATTTAAGACCTTATCATTCCTCCAGACAAAACCCCGACAACCTCTATATTGCCACCTGTGCAGAAACGGACCTCTGCATTATGCAAGATCGGCGGAGTTGTCCCTGTTGTATCACGTCTTATCGCAGGAAAAGAACCGATCGGCGGATGCTAGATCCCGTGATACCCAGGATACTAGAGTCCCCCATGCAACCACTGCTACCACCTCCCGCTCGTATACCGCGTATAACTTGGGCACTCAGCTTGTGGCAGCAGAGTCAGCTGTCACATCAGTAGTCATCGTGCTCATCCAAATCCATGCTCTGCACTTCAGGCCGTGCGCGTTTCATTAATAGCTCCGTGGCTGACAGTGCACTGGCCGCCGGCTGCACCGAACCACCCCCTACCGGCGGCTTAGGTGTCACCTTATATGTAAAGCCTCCACCGCCTTCACCACCAGTGACAGGAGCCGTGTCCACCACCACATCGCTGTTGTCCAGCAGCCTGCCGCTCACAATCATGCGGCTCAGCTCCGTCACTACAGTGTGCTCCATCCATCGCCGCAGCGGGCGTGCACCGTACTCCGGGTTGTACGCCTGCTGTACTGCGTACGACAGAGCAGCATCCGTGAAGGTGAGCCCAATGTTGTGCGGTGACAGCCTGCCCGCCAGCTCCTTGCCCAGCAAGCCAGCAATGTGAACCATCTGCTCAGGACGCAGCGGTTCAAAAACCACGATGTCATCCAGGCGGTTTAGGAACTCGGGCCGGAATAAGCGCCGGACAGCGGCCATCACCATTTGTTTAGCCTCACGGTAGGGTTCATTGGCAGGGAGCCCACCACCCTGCGGCCGAGGCTGCTGAACCTGATGCTGGGCCTTTTGTGCAGCTTGAAGCAGAGCTTCGGATCCCAAGTTTGATGTGAGGATGATGACAGTGTTTGCGAAGTTGACTGTACGGCCCTTGGAGTCGGTGACTCGGCCGTCGTCCAGGATGGAGAGTAGTATGTTGAAGACCTCTGCATGGGCCTGGACATAAGGGTAGGGGACGGAGGAAGTTGGTGCAGGCAGCGGATGAGGGTACGAGCGTGTACAGTGTGCAGGCGTCAGCACCCGAGCGCTTCTCCGGAGCACTGAGAGATGGTTTAACGCGACCGGAGGGGAGAGGTCCGCACGGGAAGGGTTACATAGGGAAGCCCACGTCTAAGAGAGACGGGAACACAGTGTTAACAACATGCAAGATAGGCAGGCCGTGCGCCTGTAAAACTTGCGTCGTCTATACACCGTAGCCCCTAATATAATTGATAGGGACGGTCCCTTCAGATGTCCTCCCAACGCTTTATGACAGCAGGGTGATTAGGGCCGGCACACCGAGAGCCTGGTACTCTGCAAGCCTTTCATTTCGCGTCATACACACCTTCTCGACCTCGTCAAAAAGCACGACGCTGTACGGCCGCCGCCGCACAGCCTCCGTAAGCTGTCCACCCTCTTCGTGACCTACGTAGCCGGGCGGTGCCCCGACGAGGCGGCTGACACTGTGCCGCTCCATGTACTCGCCCATGTCGATGCGGATCTAAAGACACATGTACGGACGTGAGGAAGGACAGGCAGTGCACGTGAAGCAGTGTTCGTAAACTCGCTCATGCCTGGACCTTACTTCGGGTGAACTGATCAATGCACACCATGGATACATTCACACGATGCCCACACAACCCGCCTCAGTATCACGGCGCTTACCCGGAAGCCAATCCCCACCCAAACCCATGTACGCACGCATCAGCCCGTCCACCACTCACCATCATCTTTTCATCGTCAAACAGCAGCTGCGCCAGTGCCTTGGCCAGCTCCGTCTTGCCAACACCCGTGGGACCCAGGAACAGAAAGCTGCTGCCGCGGTTGCGGGAAGCCAGGCCAGCTCGCGAGCGCAGCACCGCATCCGCCACCGCTGCTACCGCATCGTCCTGCCCCACCACCCGCTTCTGCAATTCGGACCGAAGCTCCAGAAGCTTCTCGCGCTCGCTCTGCTTCAGACGGGAGACAGGAATGCCCGTCCATCGGGACACCACTGTCGCAATCTCCTGCGAGTAGGAGGGAATGAGAGAGGGACAGAGGTGCGGGGGAGAGATTGCCGCATGCACAGCAAGAACTAACTTTGTACGCAAAGTGTGTTGCTCCCTCTCAGCCGCTCTTCGTGTAGTAGCTGGTATCTAACAAGCCTCTCCAAATGCGGGCAAACAGCATTTTAAGTCCTGAGTGTATATGTGCCGTACTAACACGACTACTACCGTGGTTTCCGTGAAGGCTGGGCTACCCCAGTCGCTGCAACCCTGGGCTCAGGAGCAACTGCGGCAGTCCAGGGCCAACACCACCCCGCAGCAAGTATCCACCCCCCCAAGCCAACCCGCCCACCTCAGGCCCAACTTCCTCCGACAGCATGGCGTCAGCGGGCTGAGCCACCCGCAGCGCCTTGATGCGCTCCTCCACCTCGGGAAGAGCCCCGTACCGCAGGTCCTGGGGGGGAGGACCAGCGCAGGGTAGAGACCAACAGGCAACACGATTTGAAGCTATGGAAGACACGTCCGTCTCAGTACAACCGCAGCGTGAGGAATTGAACCAAAGCTGGGCGGCAGCGGCAGCGGAGAGTCGCGAACTGGACATGGCCCACCTGCCAACCTAATGCACCAGGGTCCACATCCTGGAGCCAGGCAACCATGCGATTGCAGGCAGGTACGCACTCCTTCCCGAGGTCCCTGTCCCCCCACCCTATGGACTTGCTTCTCCATCGGGGTTAGTCCTCGCCCGCATACAGCGACCATTGAGGAGCTCACACGGATCTTTCAGGTATCATTGCGGGATGAGACCCGTCCTCGAGCTGGTGAGCCGAGTGAATTTCACTGAAGATATTTACTGGCCACGTGCACGCATATACCCAGGCAGCACACCTACCATGGCACTTCCCCACTCTCTGTACTTACCGCAATCCGCGCCAGGTTGTTGTGCTGCTCTGCCAGTTGAATGTTGACAAGGATTTCGTCGCGCTTCTGCACCAGGCGCCGCAACTCCTCAAGCCGACTGCGCTCCTGCTGATACCGCAGCAGGAGCGGCCGCAGCTTGTCCTCCAATGCCGCCAGCTCCTTAGCGACCTCCGCCGCGCGCACTTTGCTGAGCTCGTCCTTTTCCTTGGCTAGAGCCGCAGCTTCTACTTGTAGTCGGATGCGTTGCCGCTCCAGGGCATCAAGCTGCTCGGGCTTGGAATCCAGCTGCACCCGCATGTTGGCACAGGCCTCATCCACCAGGTCGATGGCCTGTGGGGTGCGATTGGGCATGTGGGCATTACGTGGAACGTCGCGTGTGCAGCCGTGTGCATCCAGTGGAAGCCTGTGAACGTGTCTTCGCACGTGTTTAGTCCACCCGCATACTAGACGTATGAACCGTGTTCATCCGCATGCAGCTGTTATATCACGTCGTCAGAAAAGTACCGATCGGCGCATGCAGATCCCGTGATAAGCCCTATAGGATACTACAGCAGCCACCCGCCAACCGAGCTCCGCAAATCTGCACACTACTGCATAACGCAACGTAACCGCTGTGTACCTTATCTGGCAGGAAGCGCGCTGTGATGTACCGATCACTCAGTTCCGCCGCCACCACCAGCGCCCGGTCGGTTATGTGCACCCCATGGTGACTCTCGTAGCGCTCCTTGATGCCGCGCAGGATCGCCACCGTATCAGCCACACTGGGCTCCTTGACGAGCACCTGCAGCCGGATGCAGGTTTGGGGGTCGAGTGGGGAGGGTGGCTGAGTTGCAGGAGGGCCAATTATGAAGTAGGGGTGGGAGGGGCAGTTATGGGGTTCGTCTTTCGACTCGAGGGAGCAGAGATGTGCGTACAGGTGTCATTATGTGTGGTGCCATGAAACTAGAGTGGGACGCCCAGATGTGCGTTTCGGCAAGAGACGGCCCCAGATGATGAAGATGCATGGCTCCGCGGACACACATTGTCTCTCCTCTCCGCGGCCAAGCTGTGTTGATCTCGTTCACCGGCATGCACACTGCGAGTGTGTAAGTCGGGTCGCAGTCGCAGAAGCATCCCCACCTTCAAACCTTTACCTAGACACCATTTGACCTAGCTACCGTAACAGCGGCAAATGGCCCGGGTCCCCCGGCCGGGGCTGCACCAGTCCGTCGGGTCAAAGTTGAAGACACAAATCGGAAATACCACTGAGCTGCCGCGACCGTACCCCACACCCCACCACCGAGCACCATGTTCCGCAACATTCTAACACACACGTACACTCATACAGGAAAAAACACACGCATACCTGCTGGAAGCGGCGCTCAAAGGCTGCGTCCTTCTCAATGTGTTCCCGGTACTCGGCCAGCGTGGTGGCGCCAATGCAGCGAAGCTCCCCCCGGGCCAGCATGGGCTTGAGCAGGTTGGCGGCGTCCATGGCCGAGTCCCCAGCTTTGCCAGCGCCGAGAACCAGGTGTAGCTCGTCTATGAACAAGACCACCTTGCCCTGGATGCACGTGGGACCCGGGATGGGGGCGAGGACGGGAGGTGAATTGTTGAGTGGCGGATGGAGTAGTGGATAGGTAGATAGATAGAAGGCCTGGATGGAAGAATAGATGATGGGCGGCAGAATGAACGGATGCTGAAGAGGAAAGAAAGGGAAGGAGAAAAGCCGAGGTATAGATGGGAAGATGGAAGAGTAACTGTCAAGTGTGTGTGTGTGGTGGAGCCCGGCGCAAGGGGGGGTGTAGTAGCTCGCCGCTGAAAACCTACTCAAGATCCTATGTATACTTCGCACTATACAACAGTTACACACGGGGCCGGCAAACATGCACAAGGTGGTGAGGTACCCTCGGACAGCCAGGGCTCCCCCACGACACCACCACCACCACCACCACCACCGCTTGACCGTGCTCCCCCCCTCAACCAGGCGCAGGCCTCAGAAGATAGGCTGCTTGCTTTCCCTGAGCCCTGCCTCAACCTGCCTGTCTCAACCCCACACTTGCCCCGCACCCATCACACCTGCTGCTGCTGCACCTCCGTCAGTACGGCCTTGAGCCGCTCCTCGAACTCCCCTCGGTACTTGGCCCCCGCCACCAGGGAGCCCATGTCCAGGGATATGAGCCGCACACCACGAAGCGTCTCAGGCACGTCACCCTGCGGGGGGGGGGAGAAACCAAGAAGGCATTACCTCCAGAATGTGGACGGACGTGACAAACGTGACACGACGATATGGATTACGGTTTGGATTGGGCAGGGCTTTAAGAGGGGTCAGGTACAAGGGAGCTGGGCTCCGGACCCGTGCAGTGAACACCCGCGTGCAGATGGTGAAGAGGGCACACCCCAGGGACCCACCCTACCTGGCCCAGAGGCTCGTCCCACGGGTCACATCCCATGGGCAGCGAACGAAACCAAACAACAAGATGTTCTCTCAGACTCACCGTCCTCGTATCCCATTGCGCAGCTACTATGCACAGGTGGCAGCGAGCCACAATTGAACCAATTAACCACGCCACCTCTACATTCTTCCTCAGTCCCACTTTTCCCACTCCTCCAAAAATACGCTTTCCTGCTGCTCTTCTGCTCCACTCACCTTGACAATCCGCTGCGCCAGGCCCTCCACAATGGCGGTCTTGCCAACGCCGGGCTCGCCGATTAGCACGGGGTTGTTCTTGGTACGGCGACACAGCACACGCACCACGCGACGGATCTCGTCGTCGCGGCCGATAACGGGATCAGCACGCGCGGCGTTGGCGGTCAGGTCGGTACCGTACTTGGACAGCGCATCGAAGTTGGCGTCAGCGGTCTGCGAGTCGACAGGGCCATTGCCGCTGGCCTGCCGTACCTCCGCCAGCGCCGTCTCCAGTTGGGCCTTGCTGACACCCGCCTCGCTGAGAGCCTCCGACACATCCTGTGCCGCGATCTGCAGCAGAACAGAACAGAGCGAGGAGCGTCATTGAGTTCGCGAGCGGCGGAAACCTGAACCGACCCGAACACGAACGACTCCGGACGGGATGTGGACTGGGTGGTGCAGATGGTGTCGGGTGAAGGTGTGAAGGAGCAACACCGAACACAACGCTGCATGGGGCCGAGTGGGTGGAGATGGATGCCGCCTGCGGTCGCTTGAAAAAGGCGCAGCTCAAACGACATCAATGTCCACCACTGGCAAGCGCATACGCGCGTGGTTCTGCTAAATGTTTCGCGACTCGGTTGGGGTGGCCGCCCAATATCGAACCTCATTGGGAGAAGGCGCGAAGCCGGGGAGATGTGCTTGCGGGAATGGCGCAGAGACGCAGAGACGCATTGCAAGGTTAGGACGTCCCTGGACGGCAGCTGTGGACAATACGAGCCAGAGAGGGGTCTCCAGGGTCTCTACGGCGGCCGCCTGACTGCTGCCGCATTTTGCAATGCACATGGGCTGGCCATTGCCCGGGGCATTGCCATCCCCGAAAAGAGTCACTTATCATGGCAATATACTTGGCCTTTGATATGTCGTAAGGACAAGGTTCGACGAAAAGCGTAGGCAAAGAATGAAGTGCACGTATGACCACGCAGCTGAAGCAGTAGCAAATCATGACCTACCACGGCCGACAGTAGCGTGTCCACTCCCAGGTACGCGTCATTGCGGTCCTTCTGGGCCTTAGCGGCCGTTGATAGCATCTTGGTGAGGTCGCGACCCGGTGATACGCTGTCGGGTGCCGGCTGGACTTTTGGCAACTTGGCCAGTCGCCTCCGCAGCACTCGAATGCAGCTGCGCCATGCTTCATCGCCTCCAACACGTGACGCAGCGCTACGTGCAATACCTTGAGGCTCCTGCAGGTGTGCCCGTCGGATGGATGAAAAATGCCAAAGGGCTACATGGGAAAACGTTGCGGGATGTGCAGGGCATACAGGATGCTGGGGGAAGGCGCTGAAAGAACGACAGGGTCATAAGTATGTATGTAAGTTATAATTCGCAATTCAAGGTTGCGGGGGGGCTGGAAAGGGCCCTACAGTACCGAAGATGGCGCGACCCGCCGCTTACCTCAAACAAAACTACAGCCAGGTGAAGCGGAGTCAGGGTTGCATGCTGCTCTTCCTGTGCGAGGTGAATGGAGGAGCTAACAATTTCATTGACCTTTTCGGTCGCCTTCTTCGGGTCGAAAGTCATAATTAGCTCGCAAAGCGCTCCCGGAAGTTTTGGCAATGCAGATCTGTGTATTAATCAAAACAGCTGTTGGAACAAAGAGCTTAAGTCATCACACCAATGTAATTTATCAATGATATAGAGCTTGGAAAGGCTTATATCTGAAACATCGTAAGCGCGATGGTCCAATGACTGTGCATCGGACCCGATTTTTCGAGAAAGCAAGGCTATATAATCCTTCTAGTAACATACAGATAAATTGCGATTTTGCCATTCTAAACGATCTCCTCTAGAAACATCGACCCTAACGGAGGGTGACGCATACTAGTACGATGTTCTCCATTACACAAGCAATTCTGCATCAAATTGTGGATTCTTAATTTAAATATTTTTGTCTTAAGTTGATAAAGTGTGCCGAACATGCACAGTCTAAGTTGCGGTATACCGTATCGCCTCTGGTCCGCTCTCCTTCTGGTCCCTATGCAGACAAAGTCCCCAATATGTGCATTATTAAATTAACCTAGTTCAACATATTACGTCTTGAGAGCGGGGTCAATGTACCATATGTGCGCTCCATTCAAAGCACGGTGAAAGCAACCGGCATTCGCTCCAGCCATTGCCAGCCCCACCTTCAACCTCGCGCGGTCAAACTGTGCGCGACCTGCGGGATGGCAAGGCTGCGGAGTTAGGATGGTTTCTTATATTGCCTCAAGGATCAATGTCTGGCAACGGCTTTTGGTCGTAAACTATGAAATCCCGGTGCGAGCAAAGCGACGCAGGGCGTTGCAAGGACGAGGGACTGGTGCTAGGAGTAAGGCATTGTTAATCTGCTAGCTAATATGCCCGCGGAGAGGTGGTCGCGCAAGTTGCATGTTCGAATCGCGTGACGCGTCAACTGCAGGTCCTTTACTAAGAAACACGGCATCGTATGGACCGAAATATAGCGCGAGAAACGTTGATATGGATTTAACCTTGATACATCGAAAAAGCCAAACGTGTTAACGACTTTCGATATTGCGCTTTAGCTAGGCGAGAACTTATGTTTGGTCGTTGAACACGGCCACACGGCTACACGGTGGGGGGCAATCCTACAGGGCGGGGAATCCCTGACTTCGCGCTGGGGCCCGCCCAAAAATTGCACTACCCAATTCACCTATGAAATTCAGTGGAGTGGAGAACCTTTTGACGACTGCTATGGTACTATGATGGTACACCGTCAGGTGCTTACGGAGCTGCGCAACTTACGAACGAGCCCTTTTCCCCGACAGGGGAGCGTCTGAAAAAACACGGCGTTCGTCGCGTACATCCTACGAATGGGCATCACGATGATGACGCGGCACACGCTTTCCGTGTCGGATTGCAAGGCTTTCAACAGAAACATCCCAGGATTAGTAAATCGTCAAATGTGCACACACAATGTGCATGGCTATACATGGTTACACAATAAGACTCATAAAGCTCAGAAGTCCACATTGGCAATGCTGGCAGGGGCATACTCCAGTCAATCGTTGTAATTGTCAAGGCCAAGGTCCCGGAGGGCCGCCGACCCAACGTCTCTGCACGATGCCGGGTGAGCTGCCTTGGCGGCGCGAAGAAGCGCCTCAGCGCCGCGCTCCAGGAACAGCGGCCTCAGCTCCGGATTGCGTGCCACCATGATGCGAGTCACCAAACATGCCTGCCGCTGCACGTGGGCGCGCCCAGCATGCCGCTGCATGGCCTCCACCACCACATCCGCGACCCCTGCCACCGCAGCCTTGGCACAAATCTGCCAAGGGTTGGGCCAGGGAGGGATCCCTCAAGCACACAACGAAGGAGATATCCTCCTGCCGAGGCTCTCTGGCTTCCTAAACTAGGGGGTTACAAGCCGATACCATCAAACCTAAGGGACAGGGGTCTTAGTGGCCGGTTCCACCGAGGTTCCCATCGCAACGAGTGGGTCCCAATGCTTGTCAATGTTCCCAGCTCAGCGCTGGTCGCACCTCTGGCTGGCGTAACATCATGTTGCCCAACAGCCCCAGCGCCGCCTCCACAACATCATCCGAGCCCGAGTGCAGCTCCACGCAGTGCACTGCCTGATCCAGAGCACCCGCCTCCGCCAGCAGCTTCTTAACGGTGTCACTGTGTGCCAGCTGCCGCAGGGCTCCAAGGCAGGCACGACACACGTCGCGCTGTGCGGCACACTCCCTGAAAGGCGCGTAGCGTTTATTGAATCCCAACAAGTCACTTATGAGACCAGTTGGGCCAGACTCAACTTCAAGAACGTGAGCATCATTGAAGCTGAGATAAGGGACAGGCAGTCGACGCTCGTGACACGCAGATAGTGCACTGCAATAAAGGGTAGGCCGTGCTGTTCACTCACTTCAGCACGTGCAGGCAGGCCATGACGCCTCCGTCGTCCGTGAACTCGCGGCAGATCTCCTCATTGGCGGCCACCTGGTTGACCGCGAGATGCCCGTGGGAATCAATGAATTGCAGCGCACGGGTACTAAGTAGCGCACATCTAGCTTGTATACGACAGCTTGGAAGCTGAGGCGGAAACAACTAGACAAGGATTTACATACCGGTCAAGTAATCTGCATCATCAATGCGGGGCTGGAAATGCTTTAAACTGCACGGAAGACGGATATTTACAATGGACTCTCAACGAATGGCACTTCGTTCTAGTGGCTCAGTTCATTCCTAGCACCACCGGGTCATACGAAAAAAAACATGATGGCATGCATGCTGCCATATCCCCCGCCCCGCACCTGAAGTTCCGCACATTCCGACACTTCACCTCTGGCCACGTGGACCCCCCTCATTACCCCGTTGTGCAACTACACGGCAACCTTTCTGCAGCCCCATGGCACGCATCCCCAGCCATATGCAAAACGACGTTTGCGTTCCATCCAATCCCCACACGGCACATCCCCACCTGCCTCACGGTGCCCAGCACACGGCACGCCGTGCCAGGTTCCTCCGCTGCCGGCACGCGGCGCAGCACGCCCAACAGCACACGGATGGCAGCGTGGTTCTTTGCCAGCAAACGCGCGTGCATGAAGGCCTTGCTTGCGGGTGGGCGCTCGTCGTCTGCAGTGGTGACGGATCGCACCACCCCGCAAGCTGCACCCAGAAAGTCCAACGGCGCATTGGGCTCCTGCATCTGCTCTAGCAATGTGGCCACAGTCCCCGAGTCCACCAGGCGGCACTTCGCTTCCTCCACCTGGGGGTATCAAGAAAGATGGACCAGAGGAGTGCAATCGGATCAGAGCCCAGGACAGCCATGATCACAGCCTGAGGGGGACTGGGCAGAAAGAAAAAATCCGGGAAGGTGCTGCGGTGGAGAGGAATCAACACGTGGGCTTGAGGGAACGGGGATGATGAACCTGGCAGCAGCGAGCCCCGGTTGCGATAAGGGTAAGCAACCAGTACTAGTTAGCACGTTACCTCGTAAATCGAAGAGCGGAATAATATTACTTTTGCTGGTGGCTGCTGAAGACTGATCTCCGGTACATGACCCACCAGGCTTGGGGGATTCGGGCTTGAAAGACGGCCCGAGTTATGGAGACCATACCACGATACCCTTGTTACTTTAGAGTCCATCCCTTCTTCCCCGCTCGACATAACTGTCTGCCCATCCCCAAAGCTAGGTAGGTAGGTTTCCGCTGTCATAATAACTACATCATCACGAAGACTACTTCACAAGCCGCGACTGGTTAGTTACTGGTTCCTTCTGGCGTGTCACTCTATCCTTGGCACCAGCTTCCCTCGTTCTTGGTTCGTCCTAACCCCCAAAAGCTTTTTACGCAGAGGGCATTCCTGGGTTGAAATGTTTGATGCCATCGCCCACCATGGGTACATCCTCTAGCCGCTCAGGTCTACACGGTCCGGGGTTTACGCATTCCCGCTCCACTCATACACAGGTGGGACCTAAGCACAAGCTAGTCCTTGGGATTCACGCTGCTACTGAGAATGGTTGATACTCCATCAAGGCGGTCGGCCTTATATTGCCGCACCTGGCGCGCCGCCGCTTCAGCGACTGTTGCGACAGCAGTCTTGGCCTCCGGTATGCTGGCGCCTTCCCGAAGCAAATCGTGAAGGAGTTCAACTCCCTGGCGCGGCAGCGCAGCACGATACAGAGATTATGGATGTGCCAACGTGTTAAGCCATACAGATGCAGGCCTGCTGGCTATGGGTACTCGTGAACATGAACTTCACCCGCGGATGAGGCGTGCCAGGTAATTCTATGTGTGAGAACAAGAGGGCAGACATCTAAGGGGGCATCCGCAAGCACAGGTTCGCCGAGCCTGCTTGACTACATGCTTCCTATTAAAAAGGGTGCGGGTCACACATGCGCAGCAAGCACCCACTTAAAACTCTGGAACAGGTTCTCAGGGACCAGGTTATGCTTCTCCATGCTACTGCATGCGCTGAATGCCTCATTAAAAGGCTACGATTTGTGGGACCGCAAAGCCTAAGGGCGAGCGCAACGGGTAATCCTGAACACACGGTCCTTGCCTTGGCCTCCGTGAAAGCGTCGCGTGTTTCCAGCCAGCCAAGAAGCACCTGCAAGAGCTTCAACGCCTGCAGCCACACGTGATGGAAGCGTCGAAAAACACGCTACGAAAGCCTGTCCGCGGAGTCCTCTTTTGGCCCTTTGAGGCTAGCCCACTACGGCTTTGACGGCGGTATCATCCGTCAGCCTCCAGTTTGTTCAGGACTGACCATTCCTATTACGCCCACCCATGCTGTCCGTGCAACGTCGAGCCTAGTAACTCCAAGGACACACGAGCACACATCAAGAAGTTTATCACACATCACCACCGTTCCACCTATCTCTCTTGTTACAGAGTGGGCGGCTTCTGAGCCTCTTGAACACATTGTCATTACTACAATTTACCACCATACAGCACCAACCCCCTATCTGGTTTGCCCTAGCACAGCTTACAACCTTGTCGCACCTTCCTCCCCCCTTCCAGCTGCATGGGAAGGCAAATCCCTTTCAACTTGGAGTGTATTGCTCCTTAACCGTGCATCGTGTGTCCGCTTCTGCCCTAAAGGGTGTTGGCATACCCACCTTAAGCAGCTCGTCCGTTTTGTTCTGCAGCTGCCGGCACGCTTCTAGCAAGGCCTGCATGGCGCCACCTTTGTGCGCGATGATGGACGCCTCTTGGCTGAGAGAGGGCACGGAACCGCCAGCAGTACCGGAGGACTCGGGCGTAGAAGCCTGGACGAAAGATTGTTAACGACAATAACAATACAGGATTAGTGCGAGGCGGCCACAAATATCCTTTCACGGATATGCGGTGGTAGGAAGGAAAGCTGTGATCTGCAGAGAACTGCAACCACTGGCCTGTGTAGGTCGCGTTCCTGGTTTTCCATGCAAAAATAACTGAGATGTATGGCAGCCGCCGTTTGCTCATGCAACATCGCTGTCATTACCTGCAGGCTGCTGGACAGCGCTTCAAGCGCCTCTGGCAAGGAGCCCTGCCCGCCGCACGCATCACGTAAGCCCTGACAAGCAACAGCGATGGGGTGGCTGCCACGGCAGGGTAGGCGAAAAGGGACCAGGAGGGAAAGGGAGCGAGTAAATGCAACGCCCTGTGCTGGAGCCTGTCCACAGAGAACCCTCCCAAGACAGAAGGCAAGTCTGCGGCTATGGGCAGGCTGTGCGTCTGAAGCGAGGAGTGCCCACAGAAGCAGCGACCCGGCGAGAGAACGATAGCATTGGGTACACAGTTGCACGTCCAGGGAGGACACCGAGCATCACGTGAGGCGGAAATTCAGCTGGTTCATGGGTAACCGCTGGCACACATGGGGACAATCGAGGGAACAAGGGGGCTGGAAATCAGCTGTTAGCGGGAACTGGATCCGTACGATACATGAAACGGCTCTGTGCCAATGCTCACTTTGACAGGGTGAGCTCGGGCTTTGGGACCTGAGAAGCGAGATGCTCCGTTGCGTTTGAACACCCGACGACGGTCGTGTCTCTCTTAGATTGCTTGGCATGCGATGCTGCGGATTGGTCCGCGAGGGGTCATGTACTTACATCATTTACTGTTACTATTATGCAAGCATGATAGCGCCCCCGAGCAAAATGTCCTCCACACACCCACCTCTGTAAGTCGTTCCCTGCCATGTTGGTTACAACACCGCTTAGATCATAGCCCTGGACATTAAATTCCTCGACTGCGCTCCTGATTGCCTCGTCGCGCTGCGGAGGGTTGCCCGGGTTGCCCCGCGGGGTTCGGCACGTGAGCTGGGCTGCACGACACGGACACGAACATGGTCACACGGGCCTGAACGCGCGGAAACAACTCACCGACATGTCAAAGTCTTCGATGTTTGATGCCACAGCTTCATCGAAGGCGTCCTGCATTTGGCCGCGGGGACGGGTATAGAGCACAACAACATGCGCAGCTCACGCAAAACAATTTGAAGATCCCAGGTGTGGGACATTAATAAAACGTCTCATCTCCTACCTGTGTAAGCTTTGGCTTTGCTTTGGGCCATGCCTGCGCCATTTTTGACGTAAGATAAGAAGACGAATACGGTTATGACCGCACTGAGTGCTCTTTGGCTGGCGATATGCGTCTCAGAGTATAGCTGGCAGGAAAAATCAATATTCATTCTGGTTGTGGAATCAGATCACTGCTTAGGCAAAACGCCAGTTGGATCCGTACGCAGCAGGTGTTTGAAGGTTTACGCGTAGTTTAGCGGTCATAATAATCCAGTAAGGAATTTCATGAAATTATTGTAACATAGTAGGAGGACAGCCGCCTGGTCCGCAGTTGCTGCGGGCAGGCCCAGGATTTACCCATTGACCCTGACCTGCGGGTCTGCATACGGACGAAGCGCATTTGGCTGGCATTGAGCATCGCGGTGAAGCAGCGTGGGCTAGAGCTGTATCTATGGGAGGTCCTATTATTGGTACGTACTAGTGTTACACTTCGGAAGCCTCCGTGGATACACAACAAGATTCGGCTATGGCAAAAATTGCAAATTTAGAGGACTTTATCTGGAGCTTGAGAAGGAAGTCTTTCGGGCCAGGCCTTCCCTTGGCTCGTCTCTCGCCTGCCTTGGCTCGTCTCTCACTTATGCAGAAATCTGAGAAATATACTTGCATTCAGGACTTTAGTCTGTCGTTAGAGTTCTGCCTACTTTGTTGACTGCGAGGTCTTTGCGTGCATCGTCTGGGCAGGTTTGAAGGCTTTCTGGTGCTACTTTTAGATACTGCGTCATTTTCACGCACGAATGTGCCCCAAACCAGCTCGGGGCATTGACTTGGGAGTTTGCGTTGGCCACCACCTGAAACCCTAGTTTCTAAGGAGTTTGTCATGTGGTGCTGAAAGCATGCTTGGAAATGCCTGTAAATACGCCGTGCAGTGCACCCTCTCCATGGCCATACGCTGCGTGCCGGGCCCGAAGTCCGGACGCTTGAGGAGGTGCCTCAGGACGTGCTGCAGCTCATCGTCTCGCGTGTGATGACCGCCCAGGAGCTGTGCGTACTGCAGTGTGTCAACAAGCGCTGCAGGTGGGGACTACGGACGCTTATCATTCGCCATATGGTCTTAACTGAGCAAAGAGCTATGGATATCCCTGGTCCAAGAGGTGCAAGTGCATGGCCTGTGTCGACAGGGTTTATCAATGAAGCTGTCGGCTAGGCATCTGCGCTCACTTGCCGTTGTCTGGCGATCTGCAGGGATGCGGCTGGTGCGGACGAGCTGTGGAAGCGGCTGTGCATCTCACGCTTTGCGGTGCCCGAGAGCTGTTCACCGCCATCGTGGAAACAGCTATACCGGTGCGTGCATGAGCGTCCCTGAGGCATGCCAGCAGACCTCCGTTGCTGAGTCTTCTGTTAGCAATAGAGGACGAGGCGTAAGCGCTGGACAATTACCAATAATAGACGCACGCAGCTGAGCCGCGCCTCCCGCGCTGACTAGCGATACAGCACTGCAGCATCCCATGTATATCCCGGCATGGCAGCGTGACACCCGTGCTCAACCGTGCTGGGTTAAAGTTCCTGTCAACCGAATTAGGGATGATTAGATGCCGCAGTGTGAAACTCGGCAGTGGCCCTGTGCATTTCCAAGTTCAGTTTTCCCGTCGCGAGCGTATGTTGTAGCCAAGCTGCGCGCACCGTTAGTGGCGGACGTGACTAGACTCCAACCTGGAAACAAGAAAGTGCGCACCACCGATGGATGCTTCCACAGCAGTGCGTGAAGCTACCGTGTTGGCCACCTGGTCCGACTCGGTCTCCTGGCGTTGCCTCCTACTTAATGCCTCCTGAAAATCTGGGCGTGACTATAATTGGCCCCGCCCTGCCTGGCTGCAGGTTTAATTATGAGTTCTTGTATAAAGTCTTGCTATCGCGCAGCGCGGAGCAGCTGTCCTCTGGCTTCCCCCGATACGGGAGCGGCGCCCGCTTCGTGGGCATGGGCATCGCTATCAACGCCTGAAAGGTATCAAAAGGAGCGGCACGAGAAAATCGCTGAAACAGCTATGTGCAAAAGCAGTGAAGTAGTGGAAAGTGCGAACATGAGAAGATTTGAGTGAAGGTGCCAGGGGTAACCGTCTCATTGACCTGGCTGTCCCAGTGTTCCTTCCCATTTATACGTATCTGCTGAGCGGGTGATGAGTACCGTGGCTGTTTTGTAAACCAAGCTTCCAAGCGCATGCGAGTGGAAGGTTTGTAAGTTGTACAAGCAGAACTGCATCAGAGCGCGTGAATTTGCATGCAGCTCGTTGTCCTGTACTTTAGACGGCGCGACGCTGCATTTGATCTCGTTTAATAGTATGAATGCAGTCGAGGTGTTTGGTGGAGTGTCAGCGGTCGTGGTTGTGACTTACGTGCCTAAATCGGACGCGGTTCTGGAATGCGCCATGCAAAGTGTGTGCAGCGCTAGATGACGGTCTGTCGTACTCTTGGTAAGTGGAAAACGTTTGAAGTTGTGAGACGCCATTTGTCGTGGTTAAAAAGTGCGGTTTATTCGGCTATCTCGGGAAGTGTTGAAAGGAGCGCAGCATGCGTTCGCTTGGATGTCCGTCACTGTAGGAGTAACCTTAATGCAGACATAAAGTCGTCGCAGGACACTCGCCCGGACCGGGTGGTGTCCAGGGCGTCGAAGACCTGCAAGTTGGAAGAACGAGGTAGTCGCCGACGCGCGGGGTCTGTGTGAGATGTAGCAGGTCTCATGGCCGCATATAATACATCAAAAGCGTAACCATCGGCTTTCCTGCCGCTTGGTAAACGAAGGTTCTCACCTCCTCGAAGGTGCTGCTGCGCACCGTCGGCGCCACATCCTGGAAAATGCGTTGCGCCTCGTCGCGACGTACAAACCCCAGGCCTAATATCGGAGCACAGGACCCGAAAAACCGTACGGAAACCAGAAAACATTGTGTTAGCTTATTTCATATGACCCCTTTCGCGAGTTTTCTTAAAAGCTACACTTTTCTCGTTGCGTTCTCACCAGAAGCATCGAACGCCTGATATACCTCCCTGAGCCGCGCGGTGGAGTCCCGGGAGGTTGCAACCACCTGGTGCAACGGGAGGAAACGCACTAAGTTCCCACGTCCAAGGTGATATGTGGCCGAAGAAATAATGGAAAGCGTTTACCATCCGGTGGAGGTGCTCAACCGTCAGCTTGGCATTTGCTGGGACACTTTGCCCAAGACAGAACTCAAGGTCTTGTGTTCTAGCTTTCCAGCCAGTAGCTACAAGAAGGGCAGACTTGAACTTGGTGCGATTTACGTATTCCTCTCCGGCTGACACTGCAAGGAAGGCATCGCAAGCAACTCGTGCATAGTAGCTGTTGTCCATGAAGAGAGACGAGAACGCAAGAGCCAGAGATTAGGCCTATGTATGCATGGGAATTTAATTTTGATGGCAGCAGCAAACAATTAACATACACAGTTCAAATCGATGTAATCCTGCAGTGGATTGGCATTTTGGCTTCAGCTCTGTAGGGTACTGAACGCATTAACGAGTGTCGCTGTGGATACTACAAGTATACATGCAGGACGGATAATCAGGCTGAGTTACCGACATCGACCATTCACACCTTCCGGTTTGGCCTAAGGATCAGGTAACTTTAGGAATCAACAAACCAAGGTTGTGCGTTTTCATCCTGGGGTGTTGAAGCTAGTCCGCACTAGGGAACCTGGTATGGCGAAGGTAACCCGACAACTACCCAACGGACATGGCCGGCGCGGGGCGCACAAAAGATAGGACTGGTGACATTCGTGTCCAACTATTACGATGTTGCTTCAGCATGCTGCTGTTGCTGCTGCTGCTAAATAGCGCTGTATTTTGCATTTGGCCCCAAAAAACCTATGGATTGTGCAGCGCCACCTAACACGCAACTCGTTTTTGCAAATAGTTGCACCAGAGCCCTGTCATACGAAAGGCTCACTGCACACACGCAATAACGTGCAATGGCCAGCTGCAGGTGCTGCCGTACAGCTGTTCCACCCTGCTTCCGAGCACAAGGTCCCTGCCTTGCGCCTTGCAAGACCTTTTCATATCAGATGTGCTTTGCGTGATAGCTGCAAACAAGAGGTGTCCAAGTTGCTTTCCCTTAGTTTCTTCGATCCTGAACCCTTGGCGCCCGTTGGAAAGGGAGTTCTTATCTGTGAGACTCATTAAACCTTCTTAGACTCCCCACTGTAGAGGAGTTTGCATCCAGTCCATAAAGGCCGTTAGGAGGCGTATCGAGCAAAATGTCGTACATCGTGGCCGAGGAAATAGTTGTAACGACCAATACAGACAGAACTTACTTGAATTTAAAGCATTGACGTTGCGTGTGCTGACACCTGTGACAGCTCCGTTACGGACACTTGTAAGCTGAAACACCGGCATGGCGCTTCGTGCGCTGCGCCGCGCAGCGGGACAACTTGGAAGTAGCTTGGTCCAGGCGCAACGGGTATGGCTGCTTTTGCGTAGGGAGCACGAAGTCGAAAGTGTCGGTGAAAGCGTAACCGTATTTGCAGGCCGCCGGTGTCGTTACCGCTGTCGAGCTGGGGCCATGTTGCGCAGGTAAGATGAACTCAATTCCCAAATATTCCGTTGCAAGTTTTTTGACGGGGTTCTTGGTTGTGTTGCAGAGGTCCTGGCGCGTCAATCAAGCAGCCAAACCAGGTTCGCTTACGATTGTACCAGTCACTGCCTTCTGACATCCAGTTGTAAAGGTTTTGTGTTGTACGTGGTGGTTCACAATTGCAGTAGTAACAATGTCCGGGAGGAATTATCTTCGTTCAACGCAGCGGCACGGTTCCGTGGAATCAGTACCCAACTTCGCGGGCTTCGGACCTCGGCATTCGGGCTTGAAGCTTTTGAAGTGAAAGTTCCGCCCATGGGGGAATCAATTACGGAAGGTACCATTGCGACGTTGTTGAAGAAACCAGGTGTGTGTCCAGCGGCACCGACACCCGGCACTTCTGCCCCTGGTGCTTCTCCGGCTGACGGGCAGACCTTCTAACTTCTGATGCTTCGCCTATAGGGGACGCTGTCAAGGAGGACGATATCATTGCTCAGATTGAAACCGACAAGGTGGGTGTAATTATTGCCCCTGATGAGCCTCGCACCTGCTCCACCCTGCCATCCTCCATGCCCCATGCCCGCTCCCTTTTCCGACTTGACCTATTCCAGGCTCCAGTCCTTATCAGACCATGAGAATTTTGCACCGCACAGCATGGCCACCGATTCCAGTCCCAGCACGTGGATCGCATATATACTGCATTGGTTACATACATTGAGGTTTTGATGCCTGAGCATGTGCATGGCATGTGCGGATATTGTAGGAGACTGAGCTTATTGTCTCTTTCCTCCGTGCATGCCTCTGCGGCAATGCAGGTCACCATTGACGTGAAATATACGGGCAAGGCCCCTGGCGTGGTCAGCCAGGTGCTCATTAATCCTTCCGACCTGGTCAAGGTCGGTCAGCAGGTCGCGGTCGTGGAGACGGGGGCAGCGCCGGCGGCCGCACCAGCGGCAGCGGCGGCTCCACCGCCGCCGCCCAAGCCCGCTGCAGAGGCTCCGAAGCCCCCACCCGCGCCAGCGGCCCCAAAACAGGTGCGATCCGTCGGCACATGGGTGATTATGGCCCGGCCTAGAGCATTACTGGACACGCATAACGCACCCTTCCCTTTCCCGGGAAATGTTGTGATGGAAAAACAGCGTGAAGATTAACGCACGAGGGTAGGGAGGCATGCGTAAGCGCTGTGCTGACCTAATACCCATTTCAGGGATACCCATAGGTCGGCTTGGACACTGCCGGCCCTGCACTCATTTGATGCGGACGCTGGCGCTGCCGTCCGCTTGATACCTAAGGAAGGGCATATCTGCTGCACCCTTGCCACGCTGGCATCCTTGACCAGCTGCGTCACAGCCAAACTTGCAGCTACGCATTCGCATGCATAACCTGCACCCGCAATGTATCTGAAGCCTTAACAATTGGAGTTTGTAGTGCTCTGTCACATCCCCACGGGTCCGCCAGCCGCCGGCGTTGTGCGGCGCCCCGCCAAACTCCCCCCTGTCGCTCCCTTGCTCTCGGCCCCTCCAGGGTCCTGTGCAGCCCGCGTTCAGCTCGGTGGCCGCACCCATGCCCACGTCACGTCCTGAGAGGTATGCATCCGTACATGCCCCGGCCCCGGACTTTGCTAAACTTGGGGAAGGCGATGAGGAGGGAAAGGGAGGGTAGGGTGCTGGAGAGGAAAGCGGAGTGAAGAGCGAAGGACCCGCGGGTCGGGATGGGTCCTTGTATAGAGTGCCCCGGGAGTGGCCTGTTGTTGATTTGAGGCACGTTAAAGGTGAGCACTCCGCCTTCGCACAGCCGGCATCTGGCTTATGGCTTGTGGCGTGTTGAGTAGAGGAGTGCATGAGCGCCTTGGAGGCGCCCTGGGGCGGCAGGGCACACCTTGAAGGCGCCCGAAGTGGTACATGTGATACATGTGCCCGGCTAGGCTACACGTCCACACAAAGGTTGCATGATCCTCCATGTCGACGTGGGAGTAGACAGTGTGTAGGGCGACTGGGAAGTGACTGGAGCGAAAGGATGATGGGAGTGCACATAAGCTTAAGGGGACGACGGAGACGTGCCGTCTGCACATTCCCTTGCTCGTGGCAGTCGGTACAGTCAGGGATGCTTGGCGGAGGTTCTTACCAGTACCAGGTTACGTATGTTGCTGGGTTTTTGGGGGCCCATGCAGGTCGGCATAGTCCATGGGGTCTGTTAGTCCTGGAGAAAGAGGGAAGCCGCCTAGGAGGCACTGAGAAGCAACCCTGCAAGATTAGCTATGCAGCCTGCTCGCGCCTTGTTCCCCCCTGCAGCTAAACGCGGCGGTTCCTCTTCGCCACTCGGCACCGCTGTCTCCCCCCCGGTGCCTAAAAGCCCCACCTATCTCTATCTGTGCCACCTCGCAGGCGTGTTAAGATGACCCGGTTGCGTATGCGTGTTGCTGAGCGGCTCAAGGGCGCTCAGAACACGTACGCCATGTTGTCCACCTTCAACGAAATCGACATGAGCGGCACCATCGAGCTGAGGAACACGTACAAGGTGGGGCCCGGCTGGAGGCGTGGCATGGGTGGGGTCGGATGGGGCTGGGAAAGGAAACCACGTTTAAATGGGTTGCGAAGGACTGGAGCGGGAAGGGATGGATGGATGGATGTGGGTACGCGACCAGTACAAGGAACTGAATCCATGCAACGACAACCTGGAAAGAGCGGTGAACTCGCATGAGCAGGGAGGAAAGGGGAAACAGAGAGGAGATAGCGGGGTGTAGGAAAAGGGCGGCATGTGGGCGCGGACCCGTGGGAGGGCCGGCAGGAATGGGAGGGGAGCTCAACTCCTACCGGGTAGCGGGTTGGTGGACCGAGACTTGCTGGCGGATTGTGGCCCGTGCCACCGACCTGTTGCTTGTACTGCAAATAGTCTTAACCCTACTCCGCGGCCATCTTGTCCATTTTCAGACTAGTCCCCAACCTGCTGCTATCCATTCCGCTCCCGCCAACATTTTCAGGACGCGTTTGTCGAAAAGCACAACGTCAAGTTGGGGTTCATGTCGGTGTTCGTGAAGGCCGCGGCGTATGCCCTGCAGGTGAGGGGGGTACCCTGGGGGGCCTGGGGGCCGGCAAACAGACGAACACAAGGTTTCTCAGATGCGATGCAACCGGGGAGTAAACGTTTTGAAAGAGGGGAGAGGAGGGAGTGTGTGTTACCTCAGGAACATCGACACCAGTTCCAGATTTATGAGGGAGAATTTAGGAGGGAGGGAAGAGGAGCCGTAATCGAAGGAGGCCGCTGTCTGCGGATGGGCGTATAGAGTAGCATTGCATTGTGTTGCAAACCCCTAGAACCCGTGCAAGTGGGTAAGGGGCCCCAAGGTGAGGTGAACACTGGCACTGTCGCGCAGGTGCCACATACATAGTGCAAGCCCCGATAGCGGCATGGGCACCTAATATGTGCTAAAACCAGAAGAGCTTTCAGTCATCCGCAGCTGAACGTCTTCCCGCTGGTTTTCTCGATCACTGGCTGTAATCACCCCTTGTTCGCCTTCCTTTCGCCCTGTTCCGTTCACTGTTTCCGCGGGTAGGAAGTTCCCGCTGTGAATGCAGTCATCGAGGGCGATGAGATCGTGTTTCGGGACTATTACGATATCTCCATCGCTGTTGCGACACCCAAGGTGGGTGGACCCGCCATTGGGAAAGGGAATGAAAGGGGAAAGGAAAATAGCCCCGAACTGGCCGCGAAACAATATGCACACTCGCAATGTGTCTCCGGTTGCCAATTCGGACCAGCACTGCCTGGCTTAATTAGGAACAAAGTTCGAATCCAAGGGAAGGCTGTGTGCCCCTCTTCACCCGAGCTTTAGCTCAATTAGGACGCTGCTTTCTTCCAGGCTGCTGTCCCTTCATAAGTCTGAGGGAGTTCGTTGAATTTCTTTTTCCTTACCATCTTCCCTTGTTCCACTGTGGGGCCCCCTCCGCTCCCTTTACCTCTCCTGCCCGCCGGGTAGGGCTTGGTGGTTCCGGTTCTCCGTGCCGCCGACGAGCTCAGCTTCGCAGACGTTGAGAAGGTGGGTGGTGGGCTGGCCATCAGGGCCACACACACTACAGCTCAACCTTGTTAGTCCGGGGCTATGCGATGGGTGTAGGGCCCTTTATAGCCGTGTGATGCCCTCCGACCGTTGGCCGTTGAGTTGTTTTTGGTCGTGACCGTCCTCGAATTCGAAATCCTCAAGGCACCTCGGCTCGGAAATTGGGCCAAGGATCCTCAAGGCACCTCTTGCTCGCAGCACTGCTTTCCTGAGGTTAAGGCTGGTTGGCACTGCTATCCTGGGAGAGCGGAGAGATGTCTCCAGTGTGTGTCGGAAAGTCGGTGACAGGTGTTCGGCAGCTCGGCATGTTCACACTCTTGGCTGCCTGAAAGCACACGCGTGCAATCGGTTCGCCATGATCCTCTGCCCTTCCCGAAACAGACCATCAACCTGTTGGGCAAAAAGGCCCGCGATGGCACCATCGGCATTGACGACATGGCTGGCGGCACCTTCACCATCTCCAACGGGGGCGTGTACGGCAGCCTTCTGTCCACACCTATCATCAACCCACCGCAGGTGCGATCATCACGCAGCTTCCTTGGCGGATTGATTGATCGCTTCGCAGCGAACTCCAAATAATTGATTTCTGCTGTCCCTGTTTTGAATTTATCGTCGTGTCTGTCGGAATTTTGTTGCAGCCTTCTTGGGCAGGCGTGGCACTGGCATGCTGTGCAGGAGCGCAGCAATCTAGGCCGTGGCACGGGGTTGTGGTTCGCGGCCATTATTACGCACGTCCGTCCGCACTCCGTAGCTGTCATGTTACAATCCCCCTGGCTGTCAGTTAGCAGAATATTTCCATTCTGGCGCCATCCGCTTCGAACCCCTTCAGCCTTGCGTGTACAAGCTCCCACCTGCCGCCGCGTCCACCCGCTATTATGCTGTGGTTATCCCCCCTGCCTTTGCTTCTTTCCTACATTTCCTACCCACCAAACCATTGTCCCACCCAACAACCTCCTCATCGACACATGCAACCACCGACCTCCTGGTCTCCCCCCCCGACAGAGCGCTATCCTGGGTATGCACGCCATCATCGACCGACCCGTGGCGGTGAAGGGCAAGGTGGAGATTCGGCCCATTATGAATGTCGCCCTCACGTACGACCACCGTCTCATCGACGGGCGGGAGGTAAGACGGGGAGCCGAGGGAGAGGGGAGAGCCGATGCGGGCGTGGCGTAGGGGCATAGCGCACGTGCCTGCCAGGCATTGAGACTCGAGGAGGGTTGGGTTAGCTGAGAGCGCATGGTGAAATGCGTGGGCGAGGCCGCCCCGTGTGGGTAGTAAGTCCAGGACATAGTTGCGATAGGGCGATAGGATAGAGCGGGATAGGTTGCAGCTGGCGCAGCGGGCCCCAGGGAAATGGTGGGGTATAGCTCAGGGCCCCAGGGCCGAGCAAATACGACTGCGGTTAGCACCCACCGCGGTATTTAATGATGCGGAGGGTCCTTTGAGCGCCCTGACTAACATCCCAGTTTTGCACCTGGTCAGCTTATACACCTCAGGCCGTGTCGTGTCGTGCCTCCCGCACGCCTGGTCGCAGCAGTGATTTGTGAATGGTCGTCTGCCCGTGTGTTTGTAAGTACATATGTTTGCCCCTGTACATGCCTATATCGGCATACCGGTGGACGTAGATGTATACGCGTACGTATGTCTTTCTGTCAGCACACGACACGACACGCTACCCCATGGCCGCTTTAGTCCTACACGTCACCACTTCGGTTTCCGTTCTTTTTCTGCTTTTATAAGACTTCCCTTTCATCTCGGCGGCTAGGTAGTTTTTTCTGCATTTTTCGCCTTCTGCCTCCTTCCGATTCTGGACTTGCCAGCTAGTCATTCGTTCGCAACCCAGCTGGGCACATCGCCGCCAAGATCACGACGCAAGTCGTCACTGATCAGGAGATATTCCTGCAACATTTGTCTCTCCTGGACTATCCGTCTATTTCTGGTATCTGCTTCACTCTCCGGTGGTTCGTCGTACTCCATGCCCCCGGTGCGCCCTGCCGCTGGCGCCCCCTCGTCCCCCCGCTCCGCGCGCTCCCGCAGGCGGTCACCTTCCTGCGCCGGATCAAGGATGTGGTAGAGGACCCTCGCCGCTTGCTGCTGGACATCTAGGCGGCAGCCGGTCTCGGGATGGGCACGGAATAGTGGAGAGGGCCGGCCACCCCTAAACGATGTGTGCTGACGCGCCGATCTACCCAAAGACTGGTTGGCTGGCCACGACCCCAGCAACGGCGGCCGTCGGTCAGATGGACAGACAGACAGGTCGGGGCCCCTAGCGGGGCGCAGCGGGGCGGGTTGCAGTGTTGCTGAGGGTGGTAGGGGGTGTGGTTAGATTTCCCACAGCCAGATTTACTGTTGTGGTAGCTCGTCTGATTGCAAGTGGGATCAGAACGGAGTCTGCCTTTGGAACGGTCGGTTGGGAGGTCACGGAGGGAAGGGAACTGAAGGATGGGGCAGTGAACTGAACGGGAACGCCTCACGGTTAAGTCCTGACTGCTTTACAAACCCTAACAGCCGTCTGTCGACCCTGCCATCAATCTATGGTGTGCGAAGGACTCTGCTTTCAACCTCACGCTGCTCGTTCCGTAGAGGCGGCGTCGTGCTATAGATGTGTTATGGGTAGCGACAAGAACGTGCCCAGAAGAAGGGGGATTAAGGGGGCTTGCTTACCGTATTATGTGCGCCCCGTTTTGGTGGAGCGGGGACTCTGTAGTTTAACTAGGCACTCGCCTTGTTTATTTCCTTACGAACTGGTTTCGTACTGCTGGTGTGTGTTGCCATGTGTGGCTTCGATGTCTGGCCGCGCGGTGCTGTGCGGTGTGTTGCAGTGCAGGCAGGGGGCTGCATGAGCGCTCCTCCTTGCGGCCATCAGGGCTTGCGTCATGTGTGTCAGTGTGGACTTAGTGGTGCGGCTCAACGGTGTGTGTGCCACCGAGTTACCCACGAGTCTGTACATGTTGGGTATGATAGGATAGGAAGTGCTTGGCCCAGCCTCGGGTTTTATCTGCGTCCTATCTGGTCGTCAAGGTAGCCGGGCCCGCTGCAGTGTATGTGTAGGGGCCCAGAAGGACCGCTCAACCCCATCCCCCTTTCCAGCAGACACAGCCCTGCAGTGCACCGGCAAATGGGCAACCGGGTGTTGCATGTGACAGATTGGCGTCTTGTGGGCGGTGAAGAGCTCAGAGGAAATGGAGAATGGACCCCTATCTTGATAGGAAACAAACAGGTGTAAGCGGTATCCTGCTGCTTCCCTTCCCTGAAACAATTCCAAGGAGAGGAGGAGGTGCATATCCCAATTATGCATTCCAGCTACTTTTGTCCACCCACTACTCCTCCAGCCAATCTGACCTGGCTTTTGGACGCAAACCTCCGTGTGCTGCGCCGCACCTGGCCGCACGTCAATCTCCGCACTAAGCACCAAGTGTACGATTTGAGATCCAGCACCCATTCATGTGGTTTGTCAGGGGACGGGATGTACTGCAATAGTGTACAATGCCGTCGTCTGTATCGGGCGTGTCGGGCTGCTGTTGCGGTAACAGGTCCATTCGGACCCGCTGCTTAATTCCTGCGGTTGCAAAGCTCCTGGACACCACCTCGTGGACCGCGGCAACAGCATGCAGCGGCCTTTTGGTTACCTAGGAATGTTAACATAGCCCTGCTAAGGGGCGCACGCGGCGCCGGGCTGGTCACTGGCAGACTGGGGCTGAGTGCTGAAGTGAGGCCGCGATTACAAACAGTCACCTGCACGTGCTGCATTGGGTCGGGTGGGCTCTAGAGCTGAGTCGGACAGCAAATATTACTAAGCCAAAGGCACCGCAACGGTCTACGTGCTGTGCATAAGCCGTACAAAGCCGTATTTTCCTTACCGCAAGGCGTACAGCGCGTTAGTTGGTAGCGGTCGAACATACGTTTGTGAAAGGTTGACGCTCACATTTCATGTCTGTTTATCAGGAAAAGCTGAGGTGATGAAGGATCATATCAAATGACAAACTCTTTGAGTTCACTGTAGGGCTGGTTACCCCGTTTAAAAACGCATGCACTCATGGCATGGCAGACTGGAAAATAGGGACAAAATCGGACACATGCCTGTACTTAGTGCGAAAACCTGCCCATCCGTACGTTGCCGATCGGCCCGTGACGTTTTGGTCATATAAGACATGATATCAGTAAATGACTTAATGGCTTTACAGGGGAATCGACTCAAAGACCGCTGCTGTCCGCACCAATAATAATCGCTTGTAGGGACGGAAGAGGTGCCGAGCCGAGATCGTACCACGAAAAGCCCCGAACAACCAGAGACGCCCCTCTGCCCCGTACTCCCAAGGGGGAAACCTCAGGCACGGCCAGCAGTCACGTCCACCACCACCTCCACTCATACCGGGAGAAGAGCATGGGATGAACTACCCTTAAGTACCCAACCACCCGGCTCCTTATACTTGGATTGGACGGCGCCTTTACCGCCACACAAGCTGGCCGCACAATCCACAGCACCGGTGCCGGCGGCCCAGACAGCCCATCGACGTTGGGCCGGCCCCAGGTTTTCGAATGGATGAAGCTTTCCCCAAACCCAGGACCTCCTGACGCATCGTGCGCAACTGCGGGACCAGGTGTAAGGTGCCCCCAGGGCGCGAGCCTCTCTCGGTGTGTCGCCCCTAATCCTTCGCGCCGCCTTCATGGTGCTAATGGCTGCCAGGACCGCTACGTCCCGGACAACCTGCTGCATCATTGCATGACAACAATGACGGTACAATGGTAGCACGACGCGCTGTGTACGGATAACTAACCCCCCGGTACGATATGTGGGGGATATGGATACACGTTAACCCGTAACAGCACCACACTCCTGACAAGGTGGACTTGGCGCTGTGTACGTATGGTGGTCGCGTGTGCATCCCGGTTTCCTTCTTCATACTCCACCATAAACTGTCACCATCCTTACGGGTAACGTTACAGCGCATTGCCAACTTTGCCAAGAGGCAATACTTATGGCTGGGTGTTGCCCCTTTTCAGGTGCATGCCCCTTGATTGGCAGCGACCAGTGCACATTAGGCCGGTGGCCGTGTTCGCATCGTGAGGACAGGGGTAGGCGTGTCTCTGCCCTTCCGACGCTTTCCAGGAATAGCAGTGCTGTGGTGGTATCCAGGTTAAGCTCTCGCCCTAACTCGTCTCTAGGGTTTGCCGCCACCGGGCCCCTGACTTGGAGTCGTTTGGTAAGCATACCAGCAAACTAACCATTTCCGTTGGTGGATGGCTGGGGTCGTGTTGTTCCTCCGATTGCCAGATGTTTCAACCTGAAGGCGCAACGGTGGGGTTACATCCGGGGACTACAGCAGCGGTCTAGGAGGCGGTGTCAGAATCCTCACCTTCGCCTTCACCGCGGTCTCGGAACTTGTGTGACAATCCTCCGATCCCACGCACAAGCAAGCAATGTCTCATTTTATGACGTCCGGATTTGCTAGTGAACCGAGCGGCACATCGACGACCGAGCCGTACAGCTGAAGTACCCGACAGGGTGCCCAATCAAACCAGAGCAGGTCGGGCTCCACTATAATTACATACGCCTTAATTCACGCGCATTTAAGCAAAGGCGGCCGACCAACGGAACGCAAAGCCAAACGCATCCCCCATTACCCTCGCTGCGCCTCCACTGGGTTCACTGGGTGCACCGTGATGCAACTTGCCGCCTTCAACTAGGGCGGGTGAGTGGCAGCTCCGTGTTCCGAGCCGGATAGGGTTGCTGCGCCGCATAGGTGTATACATAGTGTGAACAAATGAAACACTGTGGCGGCCGAAGTGGGAGCCCGTCAAACGACCCACAATAGCAGCGTAGATTTGCCCAGTTAGCAGGCCATAGCGGGGAAAACACGCCGCCCAAGGCAGGCACTCAGTCGGCCGGCCAGCCAGCCAGCATTACGCAACATCTTCAGCACTCCAGGTATCTGCATAAATGCACCTTTTCCTTTTCCAGGTCAAATGCGTTTTTCGTCGTATATTGCACAAAAAGACTGATGCAAAAAGGTAAACGAGAACCCAACCTTCAGCAGTAGGGGACCCTGGCTGTATAAAGCCACTGGCATCCCCAACCGCCTCCTCCCTTCCACATCGGCCATCAATTCCACACGACGACAACCAAATCTAACAGGACTTAACTGTTGTCCACCATCGTCCCCATCCACGCAAGCGCCAATCCACCTCCACCAACAACCAGCCAATAAAGGAAATGCCGCCTCTACCTTCGCAGGACATCCGGCAGCTGTCTTGCTCACACATGAAGAAATCTGATGTATCTGGAGAAGTGCTTGCATTTGCTTAATGTGCATTTTCGTTCGACAGGACACGCAAAACCATGGCACAACGCAACTCACACACGGCATGACGGGGGCACTCAACATTGCGTCTCAAGCATCCTGCACTGCACATGTCACGCCGCCAGGGCTAGGGGTCCCATCCAAAACTGCTAAGAACAACCAATACGTCCAATTTTGCACAGCCCCAAAAGCACATTACCAGTACGAAGAAATACATATACTGTCGTGCTTGGCATCAATATCTTCCCACGCAAGTTACATACACTTCGCTAAATGTTCCAAAAGCCCGCCAAGCAAGCGAGGCATGCATAAACCACCACAACGTAGGCCACTGTCGCATACTGCTAATCGTTGAACAGCACCAATTCATCAATCTATTAAATGAATCCACACGTTGCGGAGGACTCGACCGGTTGGACGGCCCATGCCGCAAATCCAGACACATCGGCGCGGTGCCCTAGGTGTACGTGTTGGCGCGGCAAATACCGATTCGTGACCCGGCAGAGGCTCCTCCGCAAGAGCACGAGCTAGGGTGACTAATACAGATAAGGAAAGGAAATACGGCACACGATGACGTATAATTATACAGCTTACCCTCTAGGTTTACCCGTCTAAGGCACCTCTTATCATCCGCCGATCACCACGGACTAGCTGCACGTAAGCTGCCGGGGGTCCACCGGGAGCCGCTAACCGGCGCTGCCTGCCGCCTCCTGCAGACCGCCCAACCAACCCCAACACCCTCACCGTCGCCAGGAACACGGCTAGGCAGATCGCACCGCGCAGGATGAATCTTGCGATCGCTACTATTGTGACAGAATTCTTACTAAGTCCAGTAGCACAGTATACATCTACACATTTATTGGACAGTCCCTAATCAATCCCTTACGACATTTTACACATGTATTTCAATGTCCCTTGCAACATATAGAACGTAATGGTTTGGACAGGTCCAAGTGCACGGACCTGTCCAACTCCCGACAGCAGCAGCTGCAGTAGCAACAGCAGTAGCAACAGCAGTACGAACAGCAGCAGCAGTACCAACAGCAGCAGCAACAGCAGCAGTTGCATTCGCAGCACCTGCAACAGCAGCAGCATCCGTAGCAATCCGGCGTGCCTTCCGTCTCAGTCAGTCATCTGTTAGCCGCCGCTGCTGTTCCCAGCACCTGCCCGGACGCACCCAGCACCCTTACCAATACCTGCCCCTTCCCAACGTCGGCGTTGTATGGCGACCTTCTTTTCGCATCCTGCGCTAAAGCAACTTTTGGAACCTGTTGCGAAGCCAAAACCGGAACAAATAAGTTCCGCACACAAAACGGATAGCAGGCCTATGCATTAACCACATCATGAGAAAGACAGGTTGTTTGTGAGGACGCCGCACCACCAGTATGGGCTATGCATATGCATATGCTAGGTTGTGCTATCATAACAGTAATCCCTATGATGACGATGATGTAAGGCGGGATGCTCCAGGTGAACCTTATGAGATCATAATCATTATCGAAGGGGAAAACAACGGCAACTCTAGCCAGGGCCGCACAGGTCGCAACACGCGCAACCAACACCCGCAACCAGCCCGCCACATGCTATATGGTGGGCATATGGTCTCACGAGGCCACATTGGCCAGGCCCCAGCTGCCGCGTCAAGCGGCAAATCCCCGCTACTCCCTCGCACCCTTCTGCCCAGTCTACGCCCGCGCCACAGGCTGGTAGCCCCCAGAGCGCTGTCCCAGCAGCGTCACGGCCGCGCCGCCACCGCCACTGCCACCGCCGCCAATACTCCCGGAGCTTGCGGACCTTCCTGGATTTTGGGAAGGTCCCGACGCCTGTGGCGAGCAACTCTTAGGGCTGGCCTCAACCGCCTCCAGGCGGGCCAAGAAGGGCTCGCCGGGGAGGCTGGGCCGTGCCAGTGCCCGTCCGTTGCCGCTGCCGCCACCCGCAGTTAGGGGTGTGACGGAGCCGCTGCTGCTGTTGCCAGCTACGCTCAGCCGCGGCAGCTGTACGGAGGCAACGTGGGGATTGGGTGCTGATGTGGAGCTCGAAGGCGTGCGCACGGTGCCGCCACTGCCACGAAGCGGCGAAGGCGACGCGAGTGCGGGTATGGAGACACCGCCGCTGCTGCCGCCGCCACCGCCACCAACCGAGCCATTGACCAGCATGCCGCCGGATAAGCTGGAGCGCCGTATGGGAGACGGAGTGTTGCTGTCGGCGACGAAGGTTCCGACGCCGGATACTGACAGCCGCAACGGCCGCATCCGCGCAGCAGCACTGCTAGAGAAGGGCGTTGGCAGCGCCAAGCCGACGTTAACGCTCGGCACCGCTAGCTCCGATGCTGTCGAAGCGCCGTCGGCCGTTGCTCTATAGCCTGATTGCGCCGCAGCCGCTGCTGCCGTGAAGCTGTGTATGACAACCGGAAGGGATGAGATGTCTTCCCCCCGAGCACGGGCAATGGCATTTGAGAGGCTCTGGGGGTTGTTGGCGGCAAGGGCACTGGCCGCAAGGAGGTCTCGTCGGTGCTGGCGGTCAACGCCGACGGCAGCAGCGGCAGTGGTGGCCGCGAGGCCGTTACTGAGAGGGTGCGGGAGAGGAGAAGGAAGAGGGTTCGGCACACCAATGCCACTCCCAGTGCCACTGTTGCCGTTACTGCTGCTGACGCTGCCGGCTGAGGCTGCCGCAGGGTTGGGGGTTCGGGCAGTGCCGCCGGATGCAATCGCAGCAGCGGAGTTGGGACCGCTGCCGCTGCTGCCGCCGCCAGAGGTGCCAATCTTGGCGCCGGCGTTGTACATTCTCCGAAGCACGGGCTGTTTGAGGTCCGGACAGGAAACGGTTGTAGGGTGGAAAGCAGCCCAGTTAAGTCAACGGGCTTGGGCTTCTATGGGCGAGCCCATGCAACTATAGTTACGTCCCATGAAGGGTATCTGGTTGCACATGGACCGCACTGTGGTGGTGGCGCAGCTTAGGCCACGTCAAGCACCTATTAAGTAGCCCGGACACGGTCCATGAGAGCAAGTGATGTGGCGTAAGTGTGCTATGCTATATACGCGGAGCCCCCAAGAGGTTAGCGTAGCCCGGCTCCCCTTTCCAACGCGACACTTTGCAGCCCAGTCTCTTCCCAGGAAAGGTAACACAAAGCAAGGCAAAAGCAATAGCAGCACCATCGGATCCATCTGAGAGCTGACACGGACAGAACCAGTGTTGAATGACACGAAGACCTCGGCTCCATTGAAGCATCGGCGCCTCCTTTGTTGATTGAGTTACTGCTTCCCCTTAATCATCAGGACGAGGCCGTAGGCCACTGCTGGGCCCAAGCCCACACACACATTGCGCCTCTCCAGCCGCCGGAAACATCCGATTGACTTAGCCGTCCCGGTGCACTCACCTTGAAGCCCAGCTGCTCAAGGACTTCAGACGGCCTCAGCGGCGGCGGTCGTGGCGTCTGGAACGATCCCAGAGCCATTGCCCCCGCAGACTGCACAGCGGTGCCGGCAGCAGCGGCGGCAGTGCTGCCTGCAGGCAGTGACGACACGGGCGGTTGCAGTAACGGCAGCTGCAAAGCGCCGTGTAAACCCCCGACGCTGTCGCTGCCCTTGCGTTGTGTGGAATTGACATTCGCCGGCCCCGTACCAACGTTGCCACTGCTGACGGCGGCCGGTGCCACTGTAGTGGTGGCGGACGACCCGGTCGCCGCTGCTGCGGGTCGGTTCTGCACTCCCGCCCTGAGCTGCTTCCTCCGTCCGTTGATTGCCTCCCTCCGCAGCTGGGCGAATGGCGGCAGGGAGGACCGAAGATAGCCGTACTTGAGCAGGAGGGACCTGGTTGGGTTGGGTGATGGGTGATGGGTTGGGTTATGGGTTTGTTGGCAGGGAAGGGAAAGAGGGAGGGAGGGAGGGAGGGAAGGAGGGAAGGAGGGAGGGAGGGAAGGAGGGGAAGACGAACCACGAGCGAGTGAAGGAGATGCCAAGGAAAGACTGATGCGCCAGAAGTATAAGAAGGCGTAACTAACCAGGAGGGAGGGGACGTGGGAGAGGGGAGAGAGTATCCAATGGGGGGGATTGTGTATTGTAAACATCGGGGACTGGAGAGGATGCAGGGCGAACCAGGGTCAGGCAAGACCGCAAACGGGCTGTACGCAACGAAGGATACTTGGAGGTGATGTGTGTAAACGCAGGGCTGGTTCCCCGATGGCACAGATCAGGTCACACGGCCCGCTTATGCAACGGCTGGGCGACCAGCCAGGCTGTTGGAATCCATTAGTAAGGGGCGACTCATCTGGCCCCGGGCTTGCCGCTGCTTCACTTAATCCCGCCTACCCCGTCCTGTCCAGAGCCACTCAGCACCCACCGCGGCATCACCAGCAGCTTAGTAGGTCGGGAGGTCATCGCCGTTGCCAGGTATTGCGACGTTGGGACAGCCGCCTCGGCACCATTGTCCTAAATTGTGATTGTGCGGTGAAGGAGAGAGCATGAATGCAGCACAGAATGTTATATTCGGCGGCACCACACAGGGATCAACCAGCGGGGTGGTGGCACCCTGAAATTACGGACAGCGGGTGTGCGGGTTACGGCCAGTACGCGTACGGACAGGTCACAGCTGGAAGACAGATCGGGCACAAGGGGAAAGCAGCCGGATAAGAGGAAGATCGGAGGATAACGAATGAACGAAAAGGGGGAGACAGCTCCCGCTCAGGAAGAAACCGGTATTGCCCACTGGCACCTCCGATGTCGAGCCGTCTCCGGATACAAGATACTATCCTGTCCCCAAGAATTCTTGCTGCGTCTCTTTATGGAGGGCGCCAAGTCCTGGCCCCGCACGCACATCCCAAAGTCACACGAGCAACGATATGACCCGGGGGGCGCCCCCAGCTGTCGCCGTACCTCCCAGGACTCCGCCTTCGCCGCCGCCGCAGCCACGTCCTCCGGGTAGCCCAACACGTTCTCTCCGAATGAGCCACCGGGGCCCAGCAGGGTGAGCGCGGCAAGCGCAGCCGCAGCTCTACGTATCTTTATCGACATCAGCTTGCCGCCGCCTGCCGCGGCAGTCGCTGAGCGGAAGGGTGAATCTGGCGCAGTGGCGGCGGTGCCAGCACCGGCACCACAGCTAGTGGCAGTGGCCCCCGAAGTACTGGCGCCGGCGCCGGCGGCCATGGCGGCTGATGGCTGTTGGCTCTGTTGCGGCGGTGGCGGTGCTGAGGGCGTGATGTCTGGGTCATCGAGAAGCCGCACTTCACCTTCCTGGCATCGCACAGTACGGCAGACGAAAGAGATGGGTAAGGAAATCTTGGATTAGCCAAAGGTTTCCGTACATACAACATGTGCGGCCCATCCTTACACTTCCTGGAATGGATCGCATTACAGGGAACCTAAGTGGATTTGATTCCCGGTTGGGTACGGCAGAGGATTCGGTGCACAAGTCAATGGTCCGTTAGCAACCAACCACCCGTCAACAACCTACCAGTACGACAAACAGCGCATCCACATCTTGACCTTGCCGTACCACCACTTGGTTACCGCCCAGACTGACCACCTGCACACGGACCATCAGACAACCAGACAGTCCGCAGTGCAGGTGGGGCTTGATGCGCACTGAAGGGTACACATCGGCTGTCTACTTCCTAAGGACTGCTACTACTTACTGGTAGTGCTGGCGGCTATGCCAATGCCCCCGGTGCTTCAGCTGGCGAAGTGTCTTTGCCAAGCACAAGCTTGGACAAGTGTGCAAATGGGACGTGGGGCAAGGAGCCCATTGTCCTTTGCATATGTGCGGGCTCAAGGGGTAAGTAAGAGCTACAGGAACTGGAAACCCTGAGTCCCCGGCTCCTGTCCCGACTCCGGCCGTCCGGGATCCCAACCCTCAAGCCGTCGACTCCACGGGGCTCTGAGGGCGCAGGCACCGGGAACCCCCCGGAGGTCTTAGCCCCGAGGTGTGCTTTTGGAAGGAGTTTGGACGCTGCCATAATCCCGAGATATGGAGTATAGCGACGGATATAAGCCATGCATGCGTGTGTGTATTTTCCTTCCCTCCCTACCGTTGCCCCCAGCGCCAGTTGCGCCTGGTGTTCGTCACTAAGTCCCCTCAGCGGCTCCAGTGACGTCAGCACCGCCAGCCGCTCCGAAACCAGGTCGTCCCGGACGGCCTCGTGGCCACGACGGAGGGCATCGAGAGCCACCACCAACACATCAGCACCCAGAGGACCTGGATGGGGTGGGAGCACGAGAGGACGAAAGGGAAGCATAAAAGGTTAAATGCAAAGTCGATGACCGTGGCAAGGGAACCCGGCAGGTAAGAGGTTGGGGGAGCTGGATATGAGGATTTGAGGCCAGGGCCTGCAGTTAAACCAGCCAGCCACCTAACCACAGCGTTTCCATCAAGCTCTGAGCATAAAATCCAGCAGGGCGTTATCTCTCACTGTCCAGTCAGGCCTGTGGCCATTGAAGGCCGCAAACCCGATGTCCGTAGCCCCACACGTTCCCCCAACCCAGTGGGCAGCAAGCCACCAAGCCGACCCCCCTCGCGCTAAGTCACCCACACATCCCACAACCGCAACGGGCAGCCCGTAATTCCGGTTCCACTTTCCGTCCTCTCTGCATGTCGCACACTGACACACACAGACACGCGCGCGCGGTGACGTCAGCTGCAACCCACCTGCGATTGCCGAGTGTGCCCGCCGTGTCCGCTGTGCGCCACCTCGCTTGGACCGGTCCAACAACATCGCAGGCAACTCGCCCGCCACCTGGCCCACCTCTACCCTCCCACCGCAGGGCCCATATAGCTGTTCCAAGTGCTCCTCACACGCGTCGTCCACCACGTCGTCGGGCCCTGGACCACTCGCGGCACTGCCAGAGGTGCTGGTGCCGACACCACCCGCGGTGGCGGCATCGTCGCCGCCATTGAGTTGCAGGAGGTCGACATCTTCAGCGGTACGCTGATCCTCAGCATCAGCGTCTGGGTCGCCGCCACCACCGCCGACGCCACTGCCGGAGCCACCCTGGCCAGCTACAGCGCTGCTGCCCGTGGACATTTTGCCATTGTCAGCGCTGCCACTGCTTTGTTGGATATTTAACGCAGCAAGTTACATACAGTCGCACACGGGTCATGGGTTCGCGGAGCAATTGGGGGTTACTGGGCGTCAACTGAACGGCATAGTGCAGCGATATGGGGGGCTAAGAGCCGATTGGTGGTAACTGGAGGCGTGCAACGTATACTGAAGAGTTTTTTCCCCCGGAGCGCATCGCGCTATCGCTCCGCAGTTTCATCGTGCATGGGGACGGAGAGGTCTGTGCCAGAGGTACCGTTCGAGTCTCATGTCGCTCGCAGCAGCTGGCGCCAGCGGGGCGCTCAGTGCACGTCCCCGACATGCCGCGATCGGCATGTGCAGAAGCAGTAGCGATATCCGCTGCGGTGGAGCCAAAATGTTCAGTAGCCGCAGAGGCGGCTGACGCGGCTGCAGGCAGTTGCGCACCTTTCTTGCTTGGCGATGCCCATGACTTTCTCCACAGCGTCGATATACCTGCGAAGTGAATAAAGCACACCACACCACACCGCACCACATCGTGGCGTAAGCCAGCCGTCCCAACGCGGTACCGCTTCGGACTGCGGCCGCTGCGGCTATATGACAGGGATATGGTTCTAAATCCTGTGAGGCCAAAACCGCCCTCGACTTGGACAGGGGCCAGGTCCAAACGGAGGTGAAGTTCCCGGATTCAGGACTCAAATGACGCCCCAGTGCACACCCTCGCGAAAAACAAGGTATCAAACGCCAGGTCAAGAGCTGGAAGCCAAAAACGGAGCGAGTATGGCGGCGTGCGCCGTGCAGCGTGCGATGTTTTTGCTGTGCAGAAAAGTGCAAATGCCAAGACAAGGCCACAAGACAAAGGCAAAACAGCAAAGCATTGTGAGTCAAACCCCTTCCGACCCTCCAGATGCCATGAACCATGTGGTGCAATTGCACGAGCCGCGGCCCCAGCGCCGGACTTAACGCGTGTGAGCGCTCCCACTCGCCTGATTGCCTTCTGTACGACCTGATAACGCCGGTCCAGGTACGTCAGTCTGACCCACGGGTCGCCCTCCTCCTCTTCGTCCACATCCACATCCGGCTCCTCTTCGCCGGCCTTGTTGTCACGCCCTGGCTCCTGCTGGGTGTCCCAGTGCACTCCGCCGGCCTTTCGAGATGCCTGTGTAGCGAGCCCAGCGCTGCAGATAGGGGGCCGGGTGGGTAAGTGCAAAGTAAGAGCCAGCCCTCCTTTCACGGGGGACGGGAAAGGGGGCTGGTGAGGTGATTGCTCAGGACGGGACAGGACAGCACGCGCAACATGAACAAGTCATAAGTTATGATGTGAAAGTGGGTGCTGCCTTCGCCGACCCCATCGATGTTACGCCCTTTGCTGAGTCAGGTCAGAGAGGGGCGCCGGGGCACCTGGGCCTAGGGAGGAGCGAGTATGCCCTTGCTGCGGCACTGATAGCCATATCGAGGATGAGAAACACATTTTGCTGGACTGTCCGGTGTACGACGAAATCAGATCTGATATGGGCTTTCCACGCTTCGAACATATGAAGGACGCTATGAAGTGGGAACCTGAACGCCTGGCAAGGATGCTGGAACGCATATGGTCCCACCGCAACTCTATCGTTCCCTTTGGTCGTTCGTATACTTCATCACTGTTTCGTTGGAAGTGCGAGGTAGGATGGTGCTTATAGGCGATTTGGCAGCCCTTGAGCCCTCGGCTCGTACTAGGGTGGTTTGCAGGTACGGGGAACGCACCCACGACCATGTAACAACAACAAACAACATGCTGCCCTCATTCAATGACAGGCCTGTCATCATGTATGTATGTCCGTACGTGCTGCAATTGTACGTGTCGTGTGCGCAATGATATTAAACGGACTTACCCCGTGTGTCTGCCCTCCTCTTCCTGGGGATCATCATCCTCGTACATGCCGCCATCCTTGGCCGCCAGGCCCCGCATATAGGCCTTGCGTGCAGCCGCACCGCCCAGCATATTGCCTACGTCTGCAGCCCGACACACAGCACATCACAACCCACCGCGGACAGCAGGGTATCGGAGTAGGGCAGGCGAAAGGTAATGCAACTTCACGGCACTGCCTCTTGGGGCTGCCTCTTTGAGAGCAGTTTCAGCGGTGCCCCTGCCGCTATCCTCCTGTAATAGTTATCATGCGCAAATTTCATCCGTTATTGTAGACGTCTCCGAGGCCTTGCTTGGCCCTGCTTTTGCTGGATTCCCACTTCATACACATTCCAGTTCATCCCATTTCACCCCGTTCGAACAGCCAGCACCAGTGCTGCCGTAACAGGTTAAGGACTATCGTCGCCGCATACCCAAAGCCGCATACACATCTCCCTGAAAAGCCCACGTGCTCGCGCTTCTCGGTTGTCGCAGGTCGCACGGGCCAGCCAGCTCAAGACACCGACATGGCTGCTACAAACTCCCTCATACCTCTCCCCCTGATAACCCTCCAAACCCCCTGCACTGACAAACCAGATGCTCCCGCTTACCCTTGAGACCACCCGCCTCCTCCATCTTCCGCCGCTCGTACTCCAACAGTGTCGTATCCTTCCGGTCGATCGAAGGCCTCACGCCGTGGTCATCGTCGTCGCCTCCGGCCGCCAACGCTTTAGCAGCGGCGCGGCGCCACGCATTGGCCGCCTTGATGGAGACCGTTCGGCTGAGGCCGGTTCTGCTCCTGCCCCCGGTGCTGCTGCCACCGTCCCCGTCACCAGCCGTTGCGGTGTCGCCAGATCGTTTCTGAGGCCCGAGGATGGGTCAACAGAGCAGAGTGGCATTACGGTGCGGTGGACTTCGAGTGGGCTCACAGCAGCTATGATAGGATGGGAGAAATGTGGATGGAGGATGTGGCAATGTGTGCGGCGGCGTTGGGCGGCATGCACAAGCAAGCGTAGGTAGGACAGAAGAGGGGGCGAAGAGCGGCGTGGCCCGTCCTGGTGAGTGGCAACCAGAATAGACGCAAGCCCCTAAGCGCCAATTTACACTTCCACGTGAGAGCTCCTGTTATAGCCTGCAAAAGAAAGTACGAGCCGACGCTAAGGGGTTGGGGAAAGTGTGGGGATATCTGAGCACACAACCGGGGCTGCCGGGCTACCAGGTGCCGTGTTGCAGGTAACCAGATGCGCACCTCGCACAGCCCTGGAGGAGACGCAAGCGGAAGGTGCGTGCAAGGGGTGAACCGAGGGCATCTGGCATGCGTGGCAAGCGCTGCAACACTCTTCGGAATGTTGTTGCAGCCCCTGCTGCTGCGGCCCCTGCACATGCATTTCCACCATACACATACTGGCCTCGTCGGGGTCCACTCCACCGCGCTCTTGCACTCATTCCCTGCCCTCTCACTTCCCAGCCCCATGGCAGCCGGCTACCCACCCACCCGGCTGAGGAACTCCAGCATCCACTTTTTGAACTCCTCCTCGACCTGCCTGGCACCCGACACCCGGCTGCTGTGGGCCTTCGGAGTGCGCAGCCCCTCCCGCTGCAGCGCCAGGGACTGCTTGATCTGCGCACGAGCTGCAGGGCGGGGTGCAGGTTGTCGCGGGGTTGGGTGGGTTGGGGAAAGCGGAAGATCATGTGCAGTGCAGGAATGGTGCAGGTGTAGTCAGGGGGAAGCAACCGGCACGCGGGTGGAGGCGGATCACCGAGGTGGCAGACGGATACATTCAAATACACTGCTCGATAGCCAGGTAGCCGGTCGTGAGCCTATTCCGTGGTACGATGGAGGGGAAGAGAGTGCAGGAGCGAGTGCAGGAGCGAGCGGCGCCCAACTGAACTGCGAGACCCAATCGGTGAGGTACCAGGACGCATCGGGACGCGCCTCCCTGGCGGGGTGGTGCCATACCCCACCATACCCCACCAAGCTGCTTTCACGGAGGACCCAACAGCCAGAACGGGCCCGAGGCCGACGATAACTGGCAAAAGCACCCAACCCTAAGAGGCATACACGCTCAGGCGAGCGAAAGCCACGAGCCCATAAGACCAGAAATTAAATCCAGTTCGTACTCCGCTGAATCTAATCCGATGCCAAGCTCTTGGGGGTTCGCTACCAGGCGTTCATCCCTAACTGCCTACCCCGCCGCTCCTCCTCGATCTTCTGTCTGATGGACTTGGGCTGAGCATCGCCGCCCCCCTTGGCGTTGCCGCGCGCACTCCTGCCCCGCGCTGCCGCCACTGCGCTTCGCAGCGCCGACCGCAGTGCGGCGCGATTGGCAGCGCCCTGGCGCCTGTGTCGCAAGTGCATCTGCTTGATGGCAGGGTAGCGGGGCGGTGTGGGCGGTAAGGCGGAACTTTGGATGAAGCTGGCTGGTCAGAGGCAATACATAAACAATACTAGAGTGGGGGCTGCGCTGTGTTTAAATGAGGGCCTTAGGCCATATAGACAGTTCATAATACACACAACTAGGAGCACCAGTTGCATCCCTTCTATGACAGGAATAGTGCAAACCGCATGTCAGGGCCCCTGGGGAAGCTGCAGTGCTGGGTGATAGGAAACCTTTCATGAGGAGAAGTCGATCCAGCTGTTCCACGACCGGAGGTAGAACCGCTGCGGGAAGCATCGGTCCGAGCCATCCAAGTCTTGCAAAGCGCAGTTGCCGCCAGCCCCTCAGCTTGTCCCAAACAAGCCGCGACGTTTCGCCGCAACCCACACCATTGCCGTCCTGCACCCGCACCCACCCCCTTACACTGCCCACCTGCCCTCCCTCCCTCCCTCCCTCCTTGCCTACCTCCACCCCTCCCGCCAGCACCAGGAACTGCGCCTCCGCCCGGGTAGCCTCCTCGAACATGATGGTGCCCGGGGGCAGGTGGCGCAGGAAGGCAGACTCGGACATGGCACGGAGTACGGGACCCGAGGAGGCGGAACACAAGCCCTGGGGGAACGGGTCGGGGGGGGTAGGGGGCGGTGGGGGGGTGCAGGGCACGACACGCTAGAACATGGGTGGCGAGATGAGGCGGGTGACGCAGACAGGCGGGGGAAGTGCAGCATCTTGCCCCCTCAGGTCCCCGGGGGCCCCGGACTGCGGGGGCCTCCCATCTCCCGGCTCTGCAGCCCGCCCATGGTGCGGGCCCACCCATCATGAGTCTACACACAGATCGCGAGTTCACTTGACCACCACTAGCCCGCCATAGGAATTGACGTCAGGTCAGCATGAGCACGCAAAATGGTGATTCCACCGAGAATCAAACCCAAGATTTCGACCTCAATGCAAATAAAAACCCAATCCATAGAATCTTGCCAGTGCGTATTTCTTCTTCACGTATGCAGCTTCTACCAGCACCGCCGCCACCCCCTTAGCGTCCTCCTCCTCTGTCTCACAACGCCCCCCCCACCAACACCCCCTCCACCCCCACCCCCACCCTCACCGGCAACACCAGTCTCAGCAGTGCCGCCAGATCCTCCGACTGCTCCAAGGTCCGCTGCCCGGGATCAGAACAGGACGCCAGGGACCGCGCACAACAACATAGCAGCGCCTGCCTCGCCTCCCCGTACTCGGGCTACTCAGACAGGATGCCGGAGACGAAGTAGTCAATGAACGACCCGAGAGGGCCGTACGGCAGGGCGGCAGAAAGGAAATGGGGATGGCGGCGGGGTTATCGGTAGCCGTGCCAAATTATGTCGGCGTTACGGGTTAACGAAGAGGAAGCCGATCTGCAGCGTGTGAAGGAAGGGCGAGCAGGTGCAGCCACAGGTACTCCCCGGGAGCAGGATCCAAAATCCAAAGCTGGAGCAAATCTGATTCGCAACACAGGATCCGCACCCAGTTCGGGCTTAGATTGCTGCACCAATGACACCGCATTCGCTGCCTTGTTACATGAAGATGGGAGTTGCTAATGGCCGCGGCATAGTCCCCACCTTCGAGGGCGCTCGCGCACACATGTCGTTCCAGGCCACCCGGGTCATCACCAACAGTGCTGCCCCGCCATTGCGCTTTCCCCCGCAGCTGCTGCTACCCCTCTCCTCGCCGCCGCCGCCGGAGGCCTCTTGGCCGGTTTCGCCGCTCGTGCCAGCACCTTCATCTTCGGCTCCGCCAACTGCAGCTGCCAACGCCGAAGGAAAAGGCGTCGCCTCCACCGTTACTGCGCTATCCGAGCGACGGCCCGAGACAACCAATGCTGCTTCACATAGAGCCTGGGGGCGAGTGGGACAAAGCAAAGTAAGCGCAAAGGTCGGCATGGGGTAGAGACACAGCAGCCCCACGGCCTGACAAGGAGGGAAGGGGAGGGGAGGAGGAGAGGGGAGGACAGAGGAGGAGGATTTGCCGTGGCTGGAGCAGGGCCGAGGCGGGTGAGGATACGTGTGAATTTGTATACGTATCGCACAAGCTACCGATCTCCATGAGCGCATGTGTGCGATATCGGACGTTCAGGCCTGCAAAAGCCAATGGGATCCTTAAGCTTGCAACAACATTTACTCGGTTCGGGAACATGCGTGGCGATATCGTCCACCTGCCTCTCCAACGCCACGAAACCACCGTTTACCTTCGCCCAACTCCGTCCCTCGCCCACCTCCCATCTCCAACCCTTTCCGGCCCCGACCCGTCTGCCTCTCCCTCTCCTCACCTGTCCCGGCATCAGTTGCTGTGGCGGTTGAGGCTCGAAACCCTCCCGACGGGAGTGCCGTACAACCCAGCAGCTACCGCTGAGCAGTACGTACCTGCGGGACGCGGATGAGTAGGCGACCAGGCAAATGGTTATGCAGCTTTGGGGAGGCGATGGTATGGCATCTTGTTGGTCAATGCCAGCACGGCCCTGATGCCCTGAAGCACCGCCACCCCACCAACGTGTGTCCCAATCAATGTCACTTGCTAACACCGGCTGGAGCACCTACATACAGAAGACTCATGTTGCTGTGTTAGCACCGCCCCTTGTGGATAAACGCCGATGCAACACCCACCCCTAGCCCCACCGCGCAATGCAAAACCTACCTCATCTCATCTCGGTCCATCCGCCATCCGCCCCGCCCTTCCCTCCCCAGCTTTCTTTCTCTCCCTCCCCCCACCCCCCGCCGCTCAACCCACATTCGGTCCGTCAGCTCGCCGACATGAAGGACCACCTCGCCAGGAGCAGCATATTGTAATCCTGCAGGCGAGCAATGCGTAGGGCGGCCGCGTGCCCCACCCGCAGCGAACAAAGCAAAGCCACATGGGAAAGAACCCCGATGACAGGTCTACATGTGCATGCCATCGCACCTATGGCTTACGAGGGCCACAACAGCACATCAACTGAAAGCGCCGCCTCTGTTATTGGCCACTACAGCGCCCCCCGAGCCATTCACTATAAAGAGGCACCATGCGGATATCAGAGTAGGTATTACAACGAGCCCCTGGGGCAGGGCCATCGGGGGCCACAACGGGTCGTGGAATCCTGAGACGAGAACGCACACGAGACGTTCCGCTGGTCCACAATAAACGCAAAAGGTCTGCTGTACTTGTTGTCTTTTCGTACAGTTAGAGTGCGGCGACGTATGGCATTCCATACCGACACTCGGAATCCCGAGCCGTTGCGCCATTGCCCACCACACGAACGGGAACGCGCGTATGCACACACTCTCACAAGCCCATTGAGGAGGCACGCACGCTCAAAGCGGAGCACCGTTAGGCATAGCCCTAAAGCAGGAATTGAATCGAGGCACGAGCACGTTCAGTGCGACCAAGGGTCCATAGGTTCGTTAACGCACCCATGCATGTGCTTAGGAGCTCCAAGCTGGAGGGAGATAACCCGGTGAAGAAGGGCTGCAGTACGCCGTCAGGGACACAGGGTTGAAGGGGGGGAAAGGATTAAGGGGGGCGCCGCGAAGACGGGGAACACGGCAACTCAGGTTGACAACTGGGGAAAAGTCCGGGGGACTGGCAACGTGTAGCCAGGCAATAAGGGATTAAGCGCTGCTTGGTGAAGAACTCGCAATGACGTGGGTCTGGAGAGTGCACTAGGTGGTTCGCGGCCCCCCGGAGGGGCTTTACTGTTAGTGAAAGATGAGAAGGGGGATTAAGGGAAGGGGTTCCTGCCGTTTTGGGTGGCGTGCTCGGAGGACAGCAACGGAAGCAGCGCTGAGGGCTGCATACAAGCGATTTGCAAGAGGGATGTGTACGGCGACCAAGAATCTTTCCCGTTCACCACGCACCTGCTCTGATAGGAAGGCGACTAACTGCGCGACGTCATCTGCCGTTCGTTGCGCAGGCCTGCAGGAATTTCAGGGCCCGTTCTCAGCCCCTTCTAGCGGACAGCAAAACTGAGACAGTGCTGCCTTGTAAACTAGGTTATTTTCATAAAAAAGCTAGAGCGGCGTGATACTAGCTTGAACAGTTTCCGCACGCTACGGTCATATGCCATGGTGCCCTACGTAGGTCCATTAAGGACCGACTAAGGAAACTCCAAAACCAGTCGTAAATCATACATAGCATCTTTATCTTGCTCTGTGCTATGATTTGATAGTATAAAACTTACTTGACGGCCAACACGGTGTGCGGGCTTGCCATCTCAGACGGTTGCCCGCTAGCTACCTATCTTTAGAGCACCGGCCGGCTAAACCCATTTTTACTAATTGATTGCAAGAGCATTGAAAAGATAACAGGACGCGTGTCTACCTCAGGACACTGTTGCGCGCACCTTGGCTAGATGCGTACTTTCATAAGCCAACAGCTACAAAATACATGGTTATAATGGCTGAATTAAACCCTCGGCATTGACTGGTAAGTATGCGTAACAGGAACCCGTACGTATTGTCGTATATCTCAGTCGCCTTCCGTCCTGCCTTCTATCCAAACTGGCCAGAGTTAAGCGAGCGGGCTACTGACTCGGAGCATATGATAAATTAAGTGTCCTAAATAACTTTTGAAAGAATGCACCAGGACACAATGCGTTGAGCGGACAGGTGGAGAGGATTAGGTGGAAGGATTTTGTTGGCCTTTTTACCCTCCAAGGCTAACCGCTCCCTCACCGTGACGTGAGACGCATACAATTGTGGCAAAATCCATGGATTATTATATAACTTTCGCGCAAACTCATACTTTCACTGCAGTTCACTGCTGGCGCGACGAGAAACCGCAACTACCCGCTGAGGCTCCAATATTTGAAGCTACACTTCTCACCGTGCAGAGCTTTCCGTAAAGGCCTGATCTCCACCCGGTTTCCATCTACGTTCAGACTTATGACGGCGGCTTCGCAGGGAAACGGAATCCTGGATGAGAAATTGCCGTCGAGAAGGCAGTGGGGAGGGAGTTAGGGTCCGCCACTCTGGGTGGTGAGACGTGCTGCTTAATAGTTCCCCTCCGGAGTTTCATTTTTGGGAGGGGCCACCATCATAAGTCTGAGACATATTGGTGGAACAGCAGCTTCTACTTCCAACGGATGTTGCATTCGACACCTGAACATAACCGCCGCCGCGCACATCCACACCCTCTTCCGCACTCCAGAGTCGCCCAAGCCATTAAATACCCATCCTAGGACGCCGTATGTAAGGTGCGCTTCCACGAGCGCGTAATTCAGGAATGGGCAGCAGCGAAATAATGTAAAATAGCAATAATCTCGAGCATCGCCCTGCTTACCGAAGCCCATACCCCGTGAAGTCGACCTCGTTAAGATAATAGGCCACCTTTTAGGCACCTTGACGGCTTACTCCGGCAGCTTGAACGCCATCATCTTGATGACGTCCCGCTATCGCCCACCGGCGCAATAATGCAGTCACACCTGCGGGACGAGCACATCCTCACACCCACACCAACATGCCTCCCGCCCCAGATCTTGCCCTTCTTTCCCACCTGAAAGTCATGTAGCATCCGCCGCTCGACCACACCGGCATCGCTTGGCAGCGCGATGGCGGAGCAACCCACTGGACGCAGCTCCCCGTGCACGTAGTGGGTCCTGTACGGCCCGAAGGAATAGCACATGGTTCGTGGCGCATGCCGCACAGCACCGCAGCGTGCGGAGGGTACAGAGAGGGGGGCACAGATAGTGTAAAGCACCGCACGAGAGTGGCCATCTTAACAGTTCGGGTCGGGTATCAAGCATTATATAGCTCCTTGTCGCACGTGCAGAGATAGGAGGAGTACTGAATGCTGCAGCCTTTAGCATTATTGCAGAACACGAGAGGTCGCGAACACCCACCCGCTTCCTGCATAACCGCAAGCGCTCGTCTCGCTCGTTTCAACCTCCCGCCTCTCATGCTCAGGCAGCTGCTGCAGCCGCTCTCGCTCCTATGGGGTCAACCGGGCTATGGTGGGCAGGTAACCTCCACACCAACGCGCCACAAACACCACTGGCCGCTCCAACCCCTTGGTGGCATGAATGGTGCTGGTGATCACAACGGGCCACAGCTCGCCCATTTGCTCCTTGTCCTTCTTCTCCCTGGAAGCGCAGTCCACACCACCGCACTTCATCTCTCTGCGGTGGAAGAAGAGTGAAGTCAAGGGTGATAAGAAGACAAAGTTGTGTTCAGACGGAGGAACGTAGAGACAGGATGTCTAGTCTGCAGTGTAAATGCAGTCATGTGTTTTTACATGGGACGTGTCGAATGATTCAGACCCAGGTCTGCAACCCAGTGGCCACAGCCATTGGCGCTTCAGGATTTCATTTCGTCCCCTCCCACCATGCTAAGATTAAGGATGTGTTTTGAAGCAAAAGTTCGTTCCATCTACGGCTGTGAGATCTGGTGACCTAACACGCCATTGGTGAAGTTCTGTCGCGAACCACAAAGCACCGTGACCGTAACAACCTTGCGGATAGTCTTTCTGGTTGACCTTATGATAAAGCTGGAGGTAATGTCCATCCCCCCCAGAGTAGGAGCTGCATGGCCTCCCCTCGCACAAACTGCTGTTTGAGCTCTCGCAATTTTCCGTGCACTACTTCTGGGCACCTTGCACAATACGACATGCTGTCACAATCCAATAATTATATAGATTTTCTGCAAACCCGGGCGTTCTGATCTGGAAATAACTTTTAGGAAATTCTTGCATGAATTTCGTAGCTTCAGCCATCAACAGCTTAGTCTTATCATCCTTCTACAAAGTTCCAGATAAAATAAGTTTGACCTTAAGTGAATATATGCTAATAATATATCCATATTCATATTCGGTTTTTAGGAATAGGTAGTTTCCACTTTACGTCAGGATGGGCCCCTGTAATTGTTGAAGGGGATCTCGCAGACTGTTACAACCCGGAGGGGTCAATCCTTTCTAAGCTCCGTCACCAGTTCATGTCGTTACGGAAACCACGAGCTTCTGTCTGCAGTGCCTTGTGCGCTTTCACGATCTCTCTCTATTTCGAAAAGTCTTCGGGGCCCTGGCCCTTGGGCCCCCATTTTGGCTCATATGGGCCCCCAGGTTACATTTTTTGAGAGTAATGCAACCCACCAGATTTAATACACAAACGCACACATATGTACAGCGATTGTTTAATAGCAGTCATGCCATAAAGCTCACGGATTTGAATCCGCTGAAAGCGCACATCCATCATGTGTATGTGTCCTTGAAGGGACGTACGTGTGTGTCCGTTACAGTGGAAGTTGCGGGACATCGGGCCCCGACCACTACCGGGTAACCCTAATACCCCCTAAGACCAGCCTTGGCCACGGATGCCGTTGCTCCTCCGGACACCCCCCGGAAGTCACCCTCGCGTCCATTTACCGCGCCCTTCGTAGACAGGCTCGAAGGGGCTCAGCAAATACCACCAAACAGTGTGCGGGTGTTATGTGACACTTTTGGCCGCAGTTTCCCGACTCCTCAACAAGCCATACACAATCTCAAAAAAATACCGGGGGAATCTACCCCAGGAGGGAGACGAACCAAGTTTTTCACTACGTCCTTCAAGAAGCTCGGCGGTAGCGTCACCGAATATATATACTCGCCAGCAAGCCAACCCGCACGTGTCGGAGAGAAGCGTTCCCGTCTATTTGCGCCAGCTGCACAGAATACACGTCACCATGTTTGGGGGTGTCCAGCTATACCAGCTGTACATCTAGCTGCGGCAGAGACACCCCGTCAGACTGGTTTGTACATGTGCCGGCCAGTCCAGTTCATATAGTCAAGAAAGTGTATGTAGTGCGCGAGGCTGTGAAACCCATGTAACAAGTTCAGCCCTGTAATGCGCGTGTTATGAACAAATATGTGCGTATCGACGAGAACTTATGTACATATTCAGAAAAAAAATACTATGCAAGTATCCAAAGGCAGGAACAACCCTGCGCAAGAGGAGAATACTCGGCATTTGGCCAGCCACAAGACGGCATGTTTGATGCAAGCCAACAGCTCCAAGCTTGGAAGAAGCCAAAGAAACAAATGAGCGCCGTGGACGACCAAACGCTACACACGCAACAAGCACTAATTGGTTAGGAGAGCGGTATTGCAGCTTACCTTGACCTGAGCTTGACAAGTACGATACTGTACTTTCCGTGACCGATGTCCATATGCACAGGCCAGGACGACCAAACCAGTAAAAAAACACTTCTCCATCGCTTTTATTCGTCACAGCGGCCTCCTTCCCTTCGTCACAGCAACCGCCATACAGCTTCATCAATATCGACATCGGTTCTCTGCGCGGCGGTCGGGCCCCACGCTGCTGTTCAACTGCTCATGATATCTTGTGTCCAGTATGCACCAATCATCCTTCCAAGGGCCCCAGCAGAGACCAATAGCAACCATTTCACTCCAACCAATGCGCTCATCCACAGCGTCAACTATGTAACTCTTATGACAGCGTGCACATTCGCGATGGAGGGCTGCCCGCGCACGACCAAGCCACCAAGTCACACCAAGCAAGAAAAAAACGTCAATCGATGAAGGATTGCAATGACTTCATGCCATGCAGGGCAGGGCACCAAGTAACGCGCTTTCGAATCGAGCAATTGTATGATGTGTGTGATGTGTATGATGTGTGGGACAGGGGGGGTCATATCTTCACCCTGCGGCCGCTACCCGGCAGACCCTGCCTTCCCCGGTATTTCGGGGCACCCTCACCTAGTCATCCTAGCCAACTTCTCAATGGATCGCTCAGGTTCCGCACCCACCACCGGCATCCAATGGAATCTGCCGGATCTGCCGGATCGACGGCGGCTCAACTCCATTCCTGGTCAGCTTGCAAGTTCACTTTATCCCAGGTCACCAGCGTCCATCGGCTAGGGGCACTTTACCTTCCACCATCGGAAGGATTTTCGACCTTGACAGGTATCGATCCCGGGATTTTCCGGGTGGCATTGTTCGTATGTACGTATGTACGTATGTACGTATGTACGTATGTACGTATGTACGTATGTACGTATGTACGTATGTACGTATGTACGTATGTATGTATGTATGTATGTATGTATGTATGTATGTATGTATGTATGTATGTATGTATGTATGTATGTATGTATGTATGTATGTATGTATGTATGTATGTATGTATGTATGTATGCATGCATGTATGCATGTATGTATGTATGTATGTATGTGTATGTATGTATGTATGTATGTATGTATGACTTAGATTACACTGTGGGCCGCGAGAGCCGGGGGCCGAAGCCGAAACACAGCGCAAGGGTCGGGAGCACACAGCACAAGTCGGTTAGTCTTGCGTGCTCCCGACCCCGACTCAGACTGCCAACACTCTACGCAGCCACTCCGCAGCCACCCCATCTGGGGATGGCGCTGCAGTGAAAACACCACGAAGGGCTCTCAGGTCCCGCTAGAGCGAGTCCACAAGTCTCAGCTAGGGCAAAGTCAAAGGCTCTCTGAAACAACCCCCCCAAACACCACCAACGAAAACGGGATTCGAAGGGAAAACAAACAAACAAACAAACACAAATTCGGTTGGGGCAGTCCCGGCAGGGGAGGGCTCCTGATATACCTAACAGGCCAACAAAAAACCTCCAAGAGAGAAAGGCTAAGAGAGCTCGACACCACAAGACGTCTTGCAACCACCTTAAAACAACTGACCTCCACCACCTGTCCCTTCCTGGGCTGGTCCAGGGGAGAAGTAGCCTTATAAAGAAAAGGGATCCCGCACAAGCCTGATCACCACTGCAGGGACCCGGGATAGTCCGGCGAAACGACCAAAGCGTTAGCGTTGCCACGACACTCAGCTCCTAGACCCTCCAGAAAACCGCAGGGGGAGGATTGTAGCCCGCGCGGCGCCTCCCTCTTACCGCCACTAACCTGAACGGTTGGTCCTCCAGAAACCTATTCACCCTGTCTCGTACTGCACCGCTCTCACCTTCGTCCCTCGCCAAGCAACCCAGTCCCACAGAGAAGACGTGTCTAAATAGAATGGCCCTCCTCGGGCCACATCTCCCCCTCATCCGAGCCCCGCTACCACCACCAGACCTCAACCTCCCAAACACCAGAAAACCTACGTCCTTTTGGCGCTCTCACCGCCATCTCCCCCCATCTCCTCCCCTGTCCGAGCGACCCTACCTCCCCCCGGCTCCCCAGCATCCTACAACCTCGGAGCGGCACTAGGGAAGAAAAAGGGTTCTTCCCTGCACGACGTGACCGCCTCCATTCCCCGTCCTTCTCCTCTCCCTCTCCCGTCTCGGGGTTCCCTCTCACCTATTCCCTTGTCCTCCAACCCCCATCCCCTTCGAACTCCTATACCCCCCCGAGCCCTGCCCTACAAACTCAGCTCAAAGCGCTCTTAGGCAATAATTTCCACCGCTTCGGCGCACCGCAGTGCGCCTTCTGAAACCGACAGGATCGGGTGGTCGGGTCC